CCATTGGTCACGCCGCTGCCCGTCAGGCCTCGGGTCCCACCCACGACCGCGCTGCGGGCCTCGGCTCTCCGGCCAAGATCTTTTCCCACGGCTGGCACCCTTCGGCAACTTCTGATTGGCCCTAGCCACCAGCCGCTCTTCTTGATTGGCGGTCGCTGGCCCCCATGGGCGGGGCCGTGGCTTGCCGCAGCAGGCGCGGATTGGTCCCCGCTGTGCTCGTGGGGGCGGGGCTGTCTTGGCAGACCCTCCTCTCTTTCTCCCCAGGCCGAAGCCTCTGGACGGCCCTGCAAGCCGGTGAGTGTCCTGGGTCAGCAACGCGCTGGGGGCCGCAGAGCGGGACTGGGCCCGGGGAGGCTGTAGGCTGGGGGCTGCGATCGGGCCCCGGAGGCCGGTGCGGGCAACCGGAGAGGGGCGGTGACGCGGACACTCACCTTGGGCGCGCAGGGGGACGGCGGCGGGGGAGGGGGGACAGGAGAGCTGCACTCCCCCAACCCGAGTTCCTACTGTGTTGGAGGTCGGGTCTGGGTCCTCGCTGGCGTCACCGGGCCTTTTCCACAAAAAGGGAAACTATGGCTTTCTTTGGGACTGTGGACAGTTTAATACCTGAGTCATTGCCTTCAATCCCCCGCCCCCAGGATGGCAGTGTCTCTCTTTTCACGTGTAAAAACTGCGGGCCAGAGAGGGGTGGGGAAAGACCTTTTGAACACCTACGATGTCCTTGGCCGCTTTTATTTTTATAACTAAAACTATTTCCTTTTATTATCAAATTAACTCGGAGTGATTATATTGTACCCATTTCACAGAAAAGAAAACAGATGGAGGCAGGGACTGCAGAGAAACCAGGTGGAGAATTCTTTGGCGACAAAGTGTGTGCTGAGGCTCTCAATTTTTTTTTTTTTAATTTATTTTTTAGTTGTAGTTGGACACAGTACCTTTATTTTATGTGGTGCTGGGGATCGAACCCAGGGTCTCGCAGGTACGAGGCGAGTGCTCTACCGCTGAGGCACAACCCCAGCCCCTCTCAACCTTTTTAATCCCATAGTAGCCCCCTAAGGATGGCGGTGGCCACTTTGAGGACCTACCACATATTTGCCCCAAACCCCCCTTCTTTAGAATGGCAGCTGACAGTCTGGGCTTGAATCCCAGATGTCCCTCTTAGTGTGTGACCTTGAGCACATTTCTTCATCTCTCCATGCCTCAGTTTCCCCGTCAGAGAAATGGAGATGCTAATTGTTCCTATCTCATTGGTTGTTAAGATCATTCCATGAGCTGTTCCAAGAGCTGTTCTAGGTGAGCAGAAAGACACCTGGCCCGTGGGGGACACTCTTACCGGTGTTTCATCCTCCATTCACCGGTGAGGAGCCGGCAGCTCAGCCGGCCAGAATTGCCTTTGGTCCTCTTCGCTTCACTCTGTGGACTGTGTTCTCCACTTCCAGGGGTGGGGACACCGAGGCTCAGAGGGAGTACATGGTGAAAAGCTGGCCTGGGCCTTTTCTCCACATCGCTTTATTAATTTCATGGACCGCAATCCCCAGCCAGGGAGGCTGGGAGCGGGATTGAATACTGGGAGTCCTAAGCCCTCTCCGCCGCGGGCCTTGACCTTCGCCCGCCGAGGAGGAGGAGCCCCTGGCGCCGCCGCCCATCTGGCAATAGGATCCCTCTGCCCTCCGGCTCGTCCCCCTGTCAAAGGCCTGCAGCTCCAGGACCCGCCCCCTTCCCCAGCCAGGCAGGTGCTGGGTGACATCAGACCCGGGCTCCCACCCCGTGACGCGACGTGGCCCCGCCCCGCGCTGGACCGCGGAGGTAGACGCACCTGAGTGCTTTGAAGAGGACCCGGGATTCCTGCGCCCCCTCCCCATCTTCCCGCTCCAGCTGGCGCCCCCAGGTAGTCCCGACGCTCAGCGGATGGGGAGGGGGCGACACAGGCCCTTGAGATGGGGTAGATGAGGTTTTGGACTCCTGGATCCGGAGATGGGCCCTGGGGGCCGGGTACCCCAGGTCTGAGCAAGGTCGGCAGCGCAGCAAGCCGGGATTCCTGGGCCTTGAGAGAGGGAAGGATGGGGGCCATGCAGGGTCTGGAGGCCTGGATTCCTAGATCTGAGGAAGGAGGTTGGGGCCCCAACTCCTGGATGTGAGGAGGAGGGCTGGGGCCTGGACCCTGGGTCTGGGGGTTAAGGGCTGGGGTCTGGCTTTCTGGGTCTGAGGGAGGAGAGACTGGGTTCTGGACCCCTGGGTCTGACGGAGGAGGCTGGGGTCTGAAGTAGGAGACTGGGGTCTGGACTCCCGGGTCTGAGGGAGGAGGCTGGACTCCTGGGTGGTAGCAAGAAGCTCAGGTTGGAGGTTGGATGCCAGCAGCCCCAACCCCTGCCCCAGGGCGGCTCCCTGGCTCCTTTCACTCAAGCCCAGCGATGTCTGCCCCTCCCAGGGCAGGCGCTCTCACCTGCCTAGGTGACACTAATGAGCCCTGGCAAAGCGTTCCTGCTGGCTGAGGGAGGGCGGGGGAGGGGGGGCGCAGCTGTTTGGACCAGGCCTGCTGGCTCACTCCTGTAGTGCCGCTGTCAGTCCTTAGAACCCAGCATCCTCCCTTCCAAGGGATTGAGGTGAGGTGAGAGAGGGCTGAGGGTTCAGATTGCTGAGTCCCAAGAGGGGTTTAGGGGGCTGGGGCCTGGATCCCTGACTCCAGGGAGGGAGGCCTAGGACGAGCGATTGCAAAAACTCCCAAACCCTTCCTGGTCAAAGGCCACGGGGCTGGAGAGGAAGTGGGTGGGGTGGGGTGGAGTGGGGGGTAAAGTCCCAGGGATGGAGCTTCTCTGGGTGTATCAAGGCCACACAAGAGGCCTGGGGTGAGCCTTAGCTCTTTGGGCTCCAGGGTGGAGAAATGCCTTTCAGTTTTCGGAGTGCAGGGTCCAGGGGTTGAAGCCCAGGAGTATCAGGGCCAGGAGAGGCTGGGAGCCAGGACTGCTGTTGCTGGGAGGTGAGGACAGCAGGTACCTCTAGGCCTGGTGGCAGAGGTGGAAGCTCTGAATGGAGGAGGCAGAAATGACCAGAAGTCCTGTGGCCGTGGGATTGCAGTAATGGGTGTGTCTGAGGCAGGGGACAGGCAGAGGCAGCCTTCTCCCGGAGGACACAATGCAGGTCACTTCCTGCCCATCTTGGACTGCCTTGGGATTGCTGTCTGCTCACTACTGTCCACAGCCTCCCAGAGAGTGGGCGGGAGCCAGCACGCTCTGGTTTATGCAGTGCCCCGGTGCTTGAGAATCACTCACAGACTCCTTGGATTGTCTGAGATCGGAGCTGGGCCCCTCTGCAGGAGCTCCAAGAGACAGGGCCCCTTGATGCTCCCCTGTTTCTCCCCATGCCCAGACCCTTCTGGGCACAGCCTGGTACTGGAAAGGCATCTGCAGAGTGAAAGCGAAAGAATGGGGCCAGTCTCTGCCCTACAGAGGAAGAAGGAGGTGTTAACTGAGGGGATGAGATGTTAGCAGGTGGGAAGACAGGTGTCAACACAGGTGTTCAGGGAACCAGATGACAAAAGTCAGATTAAGACCTTCCTGGGGCTCACATCTCAGAGTAAAAAGTCAGGTTATGTCCTTTGTCCCCTCCCTTACCTCACCTTCTATCCTCTTTCTCCCCATCTCCTGGCTCCAGTCTCCCTGGTCACTTCATAGTACCAGAGACCTATGAGCATATTCCTGCCTCAGGGCCTTTGCACTGGCTGTCTGGAAAGCTTTTACTCCCAACATCCCTGTGACTTGCTTCCTTCAAATCACTCAGGTCTTTATTTAAAAGTGCCACATCAGAGAGGCCTTCCCCGCCACCCCAATTAAAACTTCAATACCCCCAGCCTTAATGCCCTGTTCCCTGATTTCTTTCATTGGCATTCATTACCATTTAACATACTATATAATTTACTTACTTATCTTTTTATCGTCTCCTGGGATTAGAATAGCACTGCCAATATAAATAGACTGCAAGTCCAATGTGTAATTAAAAATTTCTAGTAGCCACATTAAAAAAAAGTTAAAAAGAACAGATGACATTAGTGAAATGTATTTTACTCAACCCAGGGCATCCAAAATAGTATCATTTCAATATACTAAATGGCACCAAATAGTATCATTTCAACATGTCACCAAATTAAAAAAAAAAATTCTGACGGGTTATCTTTCTGTCACACTGAATCTTTGAAGTGTAGGGTGTTTCTTATACTCAGAATCCCATTGGGTTTGGACTCCTTATTTCAAGTGCCTGATAGTTACAGGGTGCTATTTATATTTAAGTTTAATTAAAGTAGAAGAAGGGGGCTGGGGTTGTAGCTCAATGGCAGAGCACTTGCCTAGTGTGTGTGATTTTCAGCACCACATATAAATAAACTGATAAATAAAATAAAGGTCCTACTACAATTTTTTAAAATATTTTTAAAAATAATAAGATAGAAGAAAATAAATATTCCCATTCTTTGGATCTACTTGTCACATCTCAAGTGTCCAGTAGCCCCAGATGGCAGAAGCTCCTGTGTCGGACAGCCTGGGACTAGAATGCACCCTGCTTCTGAAGGCAGGAACCTATGACCTTGACAGTTGCTACCTTGTAAATGCATAGAGCTGTGCCTGGTTCCCCAAGCCTGGCCAATTATGGAATTATTGAATGGATGGATGGATGGATGGATTATTGAATGGATGGATGGATGGATTATTGAATGGATGGATGGATTACTGGATGGATGGATTATTGAATGGATGGATGGATTACTGGATGGATGGATGGATGGATGGATTATTGAATGGATGGATGGATGGATGGATGGACGGATGGATGGATGGGTAAATGGATGAGTAGAGGTGGATGAATGGAAGCCACCTCTATTGACCTATTTTGCAGAAATGCAAAAGAGGTGAAGGAAGGTGAGGGTCCTGCCTGGGGGTTTGGAGTGGGGCTGGGGGCACCAAGGATGGAACCCCATTGATGGGACGTCACCCTCCTTCTCGCCCCTGCAGACCATGGCAGCCGTGACCCTGTCGGTGCCCGGACGGAAGGCGCCCCCCAGGCCGGGCCCTGTGCCCGAGGCGGCCCAGCCTTTCCTGTTCGCGCCCCGCGGGCCGAGCGCGGGCAGCGGGCCTGGCGCGGGCAGCGCCCCGCAGGTGGAGTGGACCGCGCGGCGCCTGGTGTGGGTGCCCTCGGAGCTGCACGGGTTCGAGGCGGCCGCGCTGCGCGATGAGGGCGAGGAGGAGGCCGAGGTGGAGCTGGCCGAGAGCGGGCGGCGCCTGCGGCTGCCGCGGGACCAGATCCAGCGCATGAACCCGCCCAAGTTCAGCAAGGCCGAGGACATGGCCGAGCTGACCTGCCTCAACGAGGCGTCCGTCCTGCACAACCTCCGCGAGCGCTACTACTCGGGCCTCATCTACGTGAGTGGCCGCGCGAGGGCCGTGTCCCGGGGAGGGGGCGCAGGGTGTCAAGGTCCCCACCTGCATTGATGTCTGTCCTCCAGGTCCTGCGACTGTGCCTTCCCCAGGCCAAACACTAGCAGGACAGCCACTGGGGTGTCCAGATGGTAGATCCCCTGGGTTATAATAATAATGACGGGAACCAAAGAGTATAGAAAACTCCATGCTCCCGGTTAATCTCCCTCAGACAAAAACTAGCCTATTATCACCCCATGTCGTATAAGAGGTAACTGTGAGGCAACCCAGAGAGTTATAACATTGAAAACTAACCTCTAGTAAGTATTTGCTAAGCACGCTTCTAAGCTTTCTAAAGTACATGGTCTCAAAAAAATTTAACAATCATAAAGCATTTGGTCCCCATTTTACAGATAAAGAAACTGAGGCACAGAGAGGCCAAGTTCCTTGACCAAGGGCATCCAATTAAACCTGGAAGTCAGGAATGGTCTGGGTCCAGGCTTGAGAGTGAGATGGGACTGACTCTAGTGAGGTTGATTGTGGTGTCTGTCCACCTCTGTGCTCATCCTTTAATGTCTGTCTCACTATTAAGCTTTACAGCAAACAGAGGTGGAGGGCAGCAGGCTTAGTCCTGCTTCATGTTGGAATCCTCTGGGGAGTTCTTAGAAACTCAGACTATTTAAATCTGGGTGTGTGACTTTTTTTTTTTTTTAATAAGTTTCCAGGGAGGTTCTAGTGGGGTGATTAGTTCATTCATCATAGGGGCAAACAGGATCAGAGAGCGTGACAAGGAATGTCCACAATTATAATGAAACATAAAAATAATGACTGGCTAGCAAATATTTATCAAGCACTTATGAAGTGCCAAGCTCGGTTCTGAGAGCTGTGTGTGTTATCAGCTGTCCTCTAGGGCAGGGTCCGTTGACACCACCTGATGTTCAGGAATGTTAACTGCCCTGGGCCTGGATCACAGGGCTGTGGAGGAAGCATTCCTGGATTCGAACCCAGAGCCACGCTCTGAACACCAGCCTAGAGTGCCAGGGAATCTCAGCCTGGCCCCTGCCCTTCCCTGTCCAGGGCCACTAGGCACAAGATGAGGGTGTTCTGAGGATGTTTGATTCCCATTTGGAGACTGGGGCCCTGGAGGAGCTGTCGCTGGCATGGGGGTGGCTGTGGGGCTTGACTCAAGGGCTCTCTGGCCCTGGTGGAGCTGGCACCCTCTCCAGACTCCTTGCCCCAGGGGAGAGGACTGTGCCCAGGACACTGCTGAGGCCCCGGAGGTCAGAGTGGCACCCCAAACATTTGGCCACTGTTTTTTTGAGTGAACGCTCTGAACCCTCACAGCCACCTCGTGGGGTCTTTGCTGTCATCTGTGTTTTTCAGATGAAGCCTCACGGGGGGGAGGGGGGGAGTCCTTGAACAAACCCCACAGCTGGGAACTCTGCAGTTGGATCTGAACCCAGGTCAGGAACCCAGACCCCAGGTCCGAGCCGCTGCGCTAGGAAGATTATCAGTTAGTTCAGTGGGAACACTGTAAGCCAGAACAGGGGCTGTGGCTAGAGAGCCAGAAAGTTGGGTCTGGAAGGTGGTTCCAGAAGTCCAGCGGGAAGCGAGGGGCCCTGATAATGATCACTAGTGCTCAGCGAGCACCCGCTTCCTGGGTCAGCGGGGTCCAAACTTCTTTCCCATACAATCTCGTTGCCCCACCGCCATCTACAGGAAGCCATGAGGCTGGGATTGTCAGCTCCGTCTCCTCATAGCCTGGAGGGGGAGGCCATGGACCCAGGAGGGTCTGGTCACATGTGGAGCGAGCTGTGTTCCTGGGTCCACGCTGGGTCCTGTGAGTGCCACACAAGCTTGCACGAGGCTCACCCAGTGTGGGAATTGCTTTTCCTGTCCCCAGTAAATGAGGACAGGGACACCCACAAAGGCTGCTTGCTCGGCAGGGTCAGCAGAGACTCAGCTCCACCCTTCTCGTCTTAGGACGGTGCTTAATACACACCTGTGGTCCAGCTGGTGGAAGGGAGAGTGTGGCCTGGTGGAAGGTGGGTTCCCAGGGCTCCAGAAACCCAGGTTCCGTCCTCGAGAACCTGTTGGCCTGGAGTTGCTGAGGAGCCCTTGATGCAGGGGTGCGGGGGAGGCCGTTTAAGGAGCTCCCCGAGTCTCTGGAATACACCTCAGGCCATTTCGCCCTCAGAATCCTTTGAGGTGACGGGTTAAAAGCCCCATTTCCCAGGGCTGCATACTGAGGCTTAACGAAGGTGAATCTGGGCTGGGGAGGTGACTCAGGGGCAGAGCGCTTGCCTAGCACGCGGAAGGCTCAGGGGTTAATCCCCAGCTCTGCAAAGCAACAGAAAAAGAAAAAAAGGCAAATCTGTCCTGCAAAGTCCCCCAGAGCTAGAAAACCCCTCCTCTGGTTTCCAACGCAGGATGGAGTGGCTTCCAGGAGCCAGCCCTTGGTCCCCAGAGGGACAGGTAATGTGAGAGGCCCAGAGCCCATATTTGGAGTGTCGAGGGCCCTGCCTCCGCCTGGCTGGGTTTTATTCATTATCTCTAATCCCTTGGCCTTTGTAATGAGGCGATTGTCTCCTTGGTTTCTCGGGAGGAAACTGAGACTGTGGGGAAAGTTGCAGGCTGAGGAGGGGAGCAGGCTGCCTCCGGAGCCCAGGAGCTGGGTGGCCCTTCCAGACCCTTCCACCGGGCTCCCCCAGCTGTGCCCTGGCAATTGGGATGTCCTGACCCTCCCGAGGTGCAGCGGCCTCTACCCCGTCCCCTGGCCTTGTTGGTCAACTTGGGTTTCCATCCTGGGTGTTGCCCCGGGAGCCAGGTGTGGCTGGCAGGAGGGGGCTGGCGCAGGGGTGGGTTCCCCAGCCAGCCAGGAGTAGGGGCCGGGCGCCGGCAGCCATGAGATACCCACCCAGGGAATGCGGTCCGGCCACCCCACCCTGGAGAGCCAGCCGAGAGCTCCCCGAGAGCCTTCCAGGCGCGGAGAGCAGACACCCAGCAAACCGGTTGTGCTGCTCCTGGCTGCCACCCACCCGCCCTCCCTCCGTTAGAAGGTTGGCACCTAGGAGCCGGGCAGCCTGTGGTGGCCACACCCTACCCTGCTTGAGAAGCCCCAGTTGTCCGGGAGTTCAAAGCAGCTCTGCTGCGAACCGGCTAAGTAACAGCCAGCCAGTTAACTAGCTAAGTGCGAGACTAACTGGCTGAGTGGCTGACGGTTCAATGGTTAGTTAAGATGATAGGCAGCAATTCTGCTTGCCTGATACCTATTAGTTTCTTAGATTGTGACAAAGTCCCAAATCTGGGCCTAACAGTGCATAGATAGAGCTCAGGGTGCCCAACTCAGTGCAGGTTGCACACTTGTAATCCCAGAGACTTGGGAGGCTGAGGCAGGAGGATCATAAGTTTGAGCCAGCCTCAGCAATTTAGTGAGGCCCTAAGCAGCTTAGCACGACTGTTGGGGGGGGGGGGGGAAAGAACACAAACCTGCATTTCCACCAACAGTCACCTAAGCAGACAGGTCATCTGATGGCCGTAGGGAGCACAGACGGGTTCCTGTTGTGTTTCCCTGCGGCAGGTGCTGTGGTGCTGAGGGGAACCTGTAAACCTGGCTCTCCCAGCCCAGCGCAGGCTGCAGCTCCTCTCCCCAAACCTCTGCCCCCTGCCTCCCTCATAACACCTGGGAGATGGCCCCACGTCTGTGCACCAAGAGCTGCGTGGGAATCCGGAGTTGAGCGTGCACTCGGGTCCCTCGTGGTCTTCTGCTGCTACAGAAGTGCTTCAGGGGGACCCTGCACACGGTCCCTTCCTGCATGTCTTAGGCTGTGACCCAAGTCTGACTGGCTGCAAAGCCCATTTCCTCTCCCATGGGGACCCTTGATCTGCACAGCACCTTTATGTAATTTGGGAAGCTTCTTTCATGTCATTAGCCTGAAGATGTTTATAACAGACATTCAGATCTCCATTGTCCTGGTATAGACAGGCCTTGTCCAGATGCCCTCGTGCAGTGCACAACCTGCCCAGCTGTACCCAGTGGTCTTGTGCTGCTCTCAGCCTCTTGCTGAGGCCCTCTTCCTTCCTGCCTGCTATAGACATACTCCGGCCTCTTCTGTGTGGTCATCAACCCATACAAGCAGCTTCCCATCTACACGGAGGCCATTGTGGAGATGTATCGGGGCAAGAAGCGCCATGAGGTGCCACCCCATGTGTATGCAGTGACAGAGGGGGCCTACCGAAGCATGCTCCAAGGTGAGTGTGGGCTGGGGCTTCAGGCTGGAGCGACAGCTCGTCACTGGGTGCTCTCCGGAGCCGGGGCTGAATCCCAGCTGGGCATTTCTGACTCTTGGCGGTTTCTTGGGGAACCGGAGGGAACACAAATGGAGGCCTGGGCAGGCCAGGCGCTGGGTCCTTCCACACAGCCCTGCTGTGTTCCCCTTCTTTTAGCCACGTTGTTTGGAAACCAATTGTGTCGGGCTTCTATAGGAATTTCCCTTGAGAGATGGTAATTCCTAGAGTGTCCATTCATTGGACATCGGGGGCTGAATTTCAGACCTGCTGTACGTTGTCATGGGGTGAAATGTAACCTTTAGACAGATGACAGCACAAGGCTGCTGTGTACAGCTGGTCAAGTTGTGCACTTCCAAGGGCAGCCTAAGGATGGGTCCCATGACAACATGGAGCAGTCAGGTCAAGTTACAGAATTAGTGTACATGGCGCACTTCTTATATATCACTTATTTTAGTAAATATTTAGTACATAGTAAGTATATATTAGACACATAAAATGTTACCTCTGATTACGTCAAATGACGTGATAGCAAACAGCAGTGTGTGTGGTGGACGTATTGTATTGATACGCTGCATTTCTACTGTGTGTTTTAATAATACACGCACGTCATCTAATGTGGTGGTCCCCGTAGCGGGGACAGCATTGGCAACTCCCCCTCCCCCCCACCTGCTGAGTCAGACGTTCTGGGGCTCTGGGGACACCCAGCAATGGGCATGTGCTGCGGGTCCCGGTGCCTGCTTCATGCTGAGGGTTGGAGAATCACGGGTGCAGGGTGCCTGGAAGGTGCCTCTGAGTGTGTGAGTGTCCTTCCAGGTGATGGGTTCAGGCTCACGTGACCCAGCTGTGTGTGGTGACAGCCAGCCGCGTCTGGCCATGTAACGTAACTTTGTTCCTTATTTGCTGTCCTCATAATCCCGAGCTGTTGTCACCTGCCAGCTATTGTGATATCTGAGGGATAAACAGCCGACTCAGGTGAGCCCGCACGCCCGCATCTTTCCCAGATCTGTTTCCCCGGGAGCCTGCCTGGACCCGCGTGTGGTTGGCTCTGGGTGCGGGCTGCGATTTCCAGTTGTCTTTCTGATTCTGTTTCTAGTCAACTCCCTGTGGTCTGAGGGCAGCCGGGGTTCGCTCTGGATCCCCACCAGCCCGTGCAGTGTGTCGTGGTGCAGAGGCCCCTTCTGTCTTGAGACGGTCACGGGCGGGGTGTTCCGCTGTGGTGCGTGAGGCTGGCGGCCCACGGTGCCCAGCTGCTGCACGGGGCCCTGGTTCAACTCTGACCTCCTGATCTTCGTCCTGCCCGTCTGTCGGTTTTTGTGCAAGGGATGTTGACGTCCCCCACTGGAACAGTGGCTTCAGCTGTTTCTCCTGGCAGTCCTCTGTTTGTATGTCGCTGGGTTACATCATTAGCCTCCGGTACCCGCTGTCTCTCATTTCTAGATGGGGACACTGAGGCACGGAGCAGTGCAGCCACTCTGGGGTGACACCGGTGGGTGGGTGGCTGGGCGCTGGGTCTCTGTGTCCTGCTGTAAGGTCTCGTTCCCTGCTGGGCGTGTTGAGGACATTCTCTCTGAGCTCTGACTGCCTCCCTGGGCTGCTGTTTCACGTCCCCTTTGTCAGATGGGAATCGGAGGCACAGAGCCGCTGAGCGGCTGGTCCCAGGCCACACAGAGAACCAGCCAGGTCTCAACGCTGTGTCCCTATGACACCCGAACCAGGCTGCTCGCCCCGAGGTCCTGCTGGGTGCAGCTCATCCTCTAGCTTAACCCCCCCACCCCGGCCCCCCCCTTAAAACCCCCTTAATGAGGCTCAAAACCCAGCTGCCCCCTCCCGCCTCGCCCCCCGCCTCTTCTGTCTCTCCACCCCTCTGCTCAGCGCCTCCTGCAGGGCCTGGGGCTGTGTCCTCGGCCTGCCCGCAGTGCTGCCCCTGTCTGAAAGGTCCCCTCTTCTGAGCTGGCCTGCTGTGTCCCCATGCCGTCCCCTCCGACCCCAGCTTCGGGCCTGGCTCTATCCACCTGAGGAGCCAAACACGTCTTTGGTGTTGGTTCCCATTTTGTCCGTCCCCCGCTGGAGCTGCAGCTCCATGACAGCAGACACCGTCCTGTCCCCGAGTCCTAGGCGGCTGGATTTTAGCAGGTCATCCTTTGCGTGGGAATGACTCTGCAGGGCCCAGATGGGCAGATGGGGCTGAAGTTCAAGACTTCATTCAGTGTCTTTGAGTCTCTGAAGCCCAGATGAAGTGGCGCACAATAGGGACTCAAATCGTGATTATGATCTGTTCAGGTGGGGTTTGTCGTCTCCGTTTCCAGGTGAGGAAACCAAGGCACAGAGAGGGCAGCTGCTTTCCCAGGGTCACACAGCAAGCAAGAGGTTTAGTCAGGGAGGGATATTAGAATCCAGGAGTGTCGTGCAACAGAACCCAATCATTTCCTTACCCTTTGGAAATGATTTTAAAATGCATAAGGGACCAGAGGGTCCTGTGGGAGAGCCCCTCCCACATGACATGCTCCCCTTCTTTCCTCTACAGATCGCGAGGATCAGTCCATTCTCTGCACGTGAGTAATCTGGAAGGACTTCCTGGAGGAAGAGGGTCCCGGCTGGGCATGGTTCTCTTTGCAGCGGGCAGGGCAGGGGCTACCTGGCCCCCTTACCCAGCCCTGTGCTTCCCCACGTTCCCCCACAGCGGGGAGTCTGGAGCCGGGAAGACAGAAAATACCAAGAAGGTCATCCAATACCTGGCCCACGTGGCATCATCGCCGAAGGGCAGGAAGGAGCCTGGCGTCCCCGTAAGCCATCCAGCCTCGGGACACCCCAGGCCTGGCCACCAGCATCGTCCCCTCTGTCCTGGGTTTTGCTCCCCACACACTGCCTGCCTCCCTCACTGAGCTGCCGTCTCCTGCCCCCCCCCCCCAGGGCGCCCGAGCACCTACTGCGTGCCTGAGTACCTACTGTGTGCCTGAAGCACCTACTGTGTGCCTGAGCACCTACTGTATGCCTACAGCACCTACTGTGTGCCTGAGCACCTACTGTGTGCTGCAGTGGTGCTGGGAGTGAGGCGGGGCCATACACACATGGCCCCGAGTGGCACCCAGCACTCTGAGCCCGACTGTGGTGTCCATGTGCCTGGGCTTGGGGTCTGCATGGCTGCCTGTGCTGCTCCCACTTCCCACATCTCTGTCCTGTGACTCAGCAGCCCTGAAGCAGGGCCTCTGTCTCCCCGAGGTAACCATGAGAAACCCCAGGCAGGGGCGGGTGAGTCCTGCTCGCACCCGGAGTGGGATCACACCCGCGCCTGTGGCCCCGCCCCGTGCCATCCCGCTCCACACTCCTGGTTCCTCTGCCCCCGGCCCTGCCTCTGCCCAAGGCCACCTGTTCACCTGTGTGTCTGTCCACGTTCCATGTGCTGTGTCCTGGTCCATGTCTCGTGTCCCGTGACTTCCTCAGGCCTCCGCCAGCACCGTGTCTTATGTGAGTAGCAGGGAACTGCCTCCCTAATGTGCCCTGGCCACCTAGCCCATGGTCATCTGGTAGAGAGGGTCCAAGAGTGATCGCACCAGCCAAGGACTGCGCACAGTAGGACTGCACTTATCAGTCCTACTGTGTGCATGCCTAGGCCCATGCTGTCATTTGGTGCAACCCTACTGTGTAGACACTGCCCCCTGCTGCTGTTTTCAGTGGCCCTACTGTGTGCATGTACCCGGGCCCCATGCTAACATGGATAGCCCAGATACCAATGTACCTCTTATTGCTGATCCACTGTGTGTCTAGAGGTGGCAGTGACACTGCCTCCACACACACAGAGCTGGCAGCTGAGCGAGGGAGGCGGATTCCCGTATTGAATGCTCATGTGCCAAGCCACATGTCCATTTCGCTTTGCATATATTTTTTCACTCTTCAAAACCATCCACCAGCTGAGACCATTTCATCCAACTCAAGCACGATGTAGACTGAGAAGACACACGTGGGCTTCTGTTTACTGAGCACCTACTATGTGCCAGGTCTAACACTGAGGGTCAGGAGGGAAAGTCAGCGTAAGGGTCCTGCCATGGAGCAGGCTTGTTGGGGAAGGAACCCACCCCTTCCGGAATGCCTGCTTTGTGCCGGATGGTTTGAAGAGCTTTACCTGGATGGTGTAGACTGATTCTCTAAGTGACACCTGGGCGCATATGCAGCACCACCAGGACAAAACCAGACAGGGTGGAAGTCCCCCCTCCTCCTCGCAGTCCCGAGTGGCTTGCGCGGCTGACAGCTTGGTGTGTGACCTGGCAGTCTTTTCCATGTTCACCAACACGTGTGTATCTGTAGAAATAAGAGTCTTGTTTCCTGGTGTTTCTCCCTCGACTCATTTTGAATTAGTGGATCGCCTGTGGCTTGTTTTTTGCTCTTTGGCTCCATCTCCCCTCGGGACGTCTCGGAGGCGCTTCCCGGTTGCCCTCGTGATAGAAGGAGCAGCAGGACCCGGATGTGGGGGGCGGGCATGACCCCCCGCAGGAGGGCCCCTCCCACACAGACCCTCAGCCCGCTAGACGCACTGCCCTAGCTCGGCCGCCTGGTCCCCTCTCCCTGACGCCCATGTCCCACGCCGGCAGGGGGAGCTGGAGCGGCAGCTTCTTCAGGCCAACCCCATCCTGGAGGCCTTTGGCAACGCCAAGACAGTGAAGAACGACAACTCCTCCCGATTTGTGAGTGCTGGGGACGGCTGGGCGCCAGGGGTACGGGCGCTGGGCACCTGGGGTGGGGCCAGACGGGTGGGCTTGCTGAAGGAGGAGGCTGGGCCTGGACCCCAGGTCTGAGGGAGGAGGCTGGGTCTGGACCTTGAATTCTCCAGGGAACCCTTCCCTGGGAACGCACACTTGGGATGGGATTCGGTATCAGTGGAGAGGAAGTCAGAGGCACTCCTGCTCTGGTGGGTGTGGGGTGGGGTCCCTTGGGGTCTGAGGGGTAAAAGACCCTCTCTGAAGCTCCCATGTCGTCCCTCCCAGGGAAAATTCATCCGCATCAACTTTGACGTTGCTGGGTACATCGTGGGCGCCAACATCGAGACCTGTATCCTCTCACAGCCCTGAGGGGTGCCCGGGAGGACCTGGGGTGGCCAAGGAAGGTGGCCCTTTGAATGTGGCAGACTCCAGTGCAGGGCTGCCACCCCCCACTTCCCGAGCTCAAATGCAGTGTCTCTGGCTCCTGGGCAGCAGGGTGTGGGTGGCTGCTGGTTTTTCAGGGGCTGGGCTAGGGGTCCTCATGCCCACCCACCTCCAGTGATTGACTGGAAGGATCCCCAGACTCAGATGCAGAGCCTGGCTGTGGCTCACCACAGTGAAGAGGTGCCGAAGTCAGGAGGGGGAGATGGCTCTGGGGGCCAAATCCAGGGAAGCCAGCTAGAGCTTCCAGAACCCTCTCTCAGTGGAGACACTCACGATGTCTCCTGTGGTGAGGTATGATAACTGCGATGGATGTTGTCCAGCCTCAGAGTCTTGGGGTGCAGGGTTGTTATGGGGGCTAGTCACATGGCCTCCCTGCCTAGCATGTGCCAAAATCCCCAACTCCTAGAAGGATGGCAGGTGTTCAGTGCAGACCACACAGATGCCCAAAACATCCAGTCCCAGTGAGCCCCTCCTCAGTTAGGGAATGCCAGGGACCCTCCCAGAATCTGGGTTCCCAGCGCCAGCCCACCTAGCCAGCGGGCCTTACAGGGAGAGGCCTCGGGCTGCCCTGTCACGCTGCCCTGTCACGCTGCCCTGCACGGCTGGCATGCAGCGCTCAAAGGAATCTCCAGGATGAGACACCAGCCCTCCAGGAGGGCAGAAGGAAGAGAAAGGGACTCACACCTCCTGGCTTACATCCTGCTCCGTGGCTTTGCGGCTGCACCTTGGCCACTCCATTTGCACACCTTCTGCCTCAGTGTCTCCTTCTGCCTCAAGGGGCTCGGAGGACTGTGTGAGTCACAGCTTAGCGAGGGAGCCCACTGCATAGAAAAAGCCATCGTTGCCAGCCATTCATGACTACAGTAGTTAGCCATGTCCTGAGGGGCGATAATTGATTGACAACCACACAGCAATAACGCCACCAACTGTTAATAAGAAGCTACGTCCCCACCTTCAGGCTGGCTCCCCGCACCTGGGGAAAGGGTCTCTGCTCAGGCCAGAAGGACCAGGGGTCTCAGCTCTTGGGCCCAGCTGCCTTTGAGACCAGTGACAGGTACGTGGGCTCTTGCTCACAGGCCCAGTAACCACCCGGGCCAGTCAGAGGGGTGTCAGGGTGGCCCATGGGTGGGGGCTTGGGCTGGAATCCTCACCCCAGTGGTGCTGCTGTCATCCCCTCTCAGCAGGAGGAAGCCGAGGCTTGGGGTGATCGTGATCCGGGTTCCCATTCCTCCAGGGGCCCTTCCCCCACCCCTCCCATCCACCTCAAGCAGATTACCTACCATCTTCACCCACTTTTGGAAAAGAGACCTCATGATCTGATCTTGGGCAAAATATGGGCTCCATGGTCCTGTGTTTTATTTTGCTCTAAGGTGTCCTGCCATTAGTTATTGTGTAAACATGTCACATGACTTAGAAGGAAGGAACACGTGAAGGACACAGTCTAGTGGGCTGAGGGAGCTCACAGTCCCAACGTCTAGGTGGGAAGACTGAGGCTGGCCGGGAGCTGACACCCTGCTTGCCTTTGGGTAATGGTGAGCCAGGTGCTTCCTGCCTGGCAGGTCATTTTCTCTGGCGGCAGCTCACTCAGAGGTGGTATTTTTAAGCCCCTTGAGCAGATGAGGAAACTGAGGCTTGAGTGCTTAGGTGACATGCCCAAGTCCACTTACCCAGTTAGTGGCACAGTCACTAGCCGGGCTGCAGGTGACTCCACAGCTTTGCAGGGGTATGTGGGCTGGGGGACCCCTGTCTTGGCCTGGCAACACCCAGGGCTCCTGGGCTCCCTCCTCTCTCTCTGGCTCCTTGACTCGCCTCCCCCGAGACCTGCTGGAGAAGTCCCGCGCCATCCGCCAGGCCAAGGACGAGTGCAGCTTCCACATCTTCTACCAGCTGCTCGGGGGCGCTGGGGAGCAGCTCAAGGGTCAGCGCACCCCCAGCCCTGCCCAGCCCTGCCCTGCGCTGCTTACAGGGAGGGGTGGGAGCCGCATTGGGGGCCCGGGGAGGAAGGAGCAGGACGCTCCCGTGCGGCTCTTGCGTTGTGTTGGGTCCTCGGTGGATTCTGCTGCCCTCTGGTTCCAGCTCTCTCCTGACTCTCGCTCCGCTGCCTCCTGGCCCCTGCTCCTCCTGGCTGTGTGGCCCCCTGGCTCCTGCTCACACTTCTGACGCTGCGGGCTCCGCTGGCTGTGGCTCCTCTGCCCCTGCTCACACAGCCAGGGTTACCCGGTGACTCCGGCTCTGCTGTGGCTCCGGCTGCCTCTTGCCTCCTGATGGTCCTGGTGTGTGCCCCTCTCGGCTGCTGCCAGCGCCCCCATCCCGCTCCTGCAGCCACACCCCCGCTTCTGCGGCCACGCCCCCTCCGCGCCTGTCCCCCACTGCCTGGCGGCTCCTTCCCATTTCTGCTCATTCACCCTGTAGCTAGCTTGTGCTTCCTCTTGCTCCTGCTGCCACATGGCCCCTCATCACTCAGGGCCACTCTCTGTGGCTTCTGAAGCCACACGTCCTCTGGTGCTGGTGCTCACCTCCCATGGCCTCTGTAACTCTCATTCCTAGCCCCAACGCACCTGCTAGGGATAGCTCCTGCCTGATCAGGAGCACACAGGAGGTGTCTAATGTATGCTAACACCAGCTCCATGCCCAGCGCTTTCTGCCAAACCTGTGAGGGAAGGACCCTGTCCATGCAACAGAGGGGAGGGCCTGGTCCCAGTCCACCATCAGGGGACCTGACTGTGGCTGACCCCTGACCTCCTCCTTCTCCTTCCCCCTGCAGCCGACCTCCTCCTGGAGCCCTGCTCCAACTACCGCTTCCTGACCAATGGGCCGTCATCCTCTCCGGGCCAGGAGCGGGAGCTGTTCCAGGAGACGCTGGAGTCCCTCCGGGTCCTGGGATTTGCCCCTGAGGAGATCACCTGTGAGTGAGCCCTGAGCCGCGGCGAAGGCTGGGGCAGAGGTGGGGGGTGGGGGGCCGGCTGGGGCAGCTCATCCGCCTGGGCTCATGTGCTGAAGCATTTATCAAGTGTAGGCCCTGGGGCCACGGACCCTGCCTTGGGGAGACTGACGGGCAGATAAATAAGGGTTTCTGTGGTCCGCTAGAAGGTGATGAGGGCATGGAGGAAAACAGACCAGGGGGCGGAGAGGAGGGGCTGTGGCACACGGGGCTCAGGAAGACGCATGGAGATGGGGGTGTTTGAGCAACGAAGGAGGCGAGGAGGTGACCATCAGAGAGGCTGGGGAAGGGTAGAGGAAGCAGCCTGTGCCAAGGTCCTGGGGAAGGAAAGTGCCACACTGGAGGCCCTGGAACTCCTGGATTCAGTCCAGCGAGTCACAGGCAGGTGAGGTGATGGCGCTGGTAGGGCCTTAAATGCTGGCCTCAGGGTTGGGGCTTGTCCTGGGGCTGCTGGGGCGCCCTGGGGACTCTGGGAGCAGGGACAGGAGGAGGGCAGCTCTAGGAGAGGAAAGACGCCTTGGTGGCATGTGAGGACACACGAGTGGAGGGGTGGGGGCAACCTGGGACGCTGGCTGGGGTCTGCGGGCGGTCTGGGCGGGGGTGCTGGCAAAGCCCCCACCTTTTTCACTGAGTGGTTTGTCCCGCCCGCGACTCTGCATGTTGTGTGTTTGTCTGCTCCAACTGCTGTGACACAGAAATCGACGTCTGGGACCCGGGGGACCCCGGGCAGATTGGTTCCGTTTTCTACCTCTGCCCTGGCTGGCTCCTGGCAGCCACTGGCAATCTCAGGTTTTCCTTGGCCTGTGGAACCCTCACCCCGTCCGTCCGTCTCTGCTGTCGTGTTCACGTGGGGTTCTCCGGGAGTGTGTGTGTCCAAGATCTCCCTTCAAAGGACGGGGGTCACCCCGCAACCTCCTCTTAACTAAGTACATCTCAGTGACCTTATTTCCATAAAGGTCAGTTCTGAGGACCTGGGGTTGGGCTTCCACACATCTTTTGTGTGTTTGGGGGTGTGGATCCTGTCGATCCATGGCCCCAGGTGGGGAGATGGACTCCAGTGTTTTCAAGGTGGCCTAAGGTCTTGTGTCGGCTGAACGCTGAGTCTTTAGCAGAGTTGGCGAGGAAGATTCTCCTCTGGTCCCTGGCACTGTAGGAAGGAGCTGTTGTTGCTCGGGGTGGCAACGGGAGGTATGGAGTGCCGCTTGGCCCTCTACCTAGGCGGAACAGCTCGGCCTCTTTGGTCATATTGACACAGCCCTCCCCCGCCCCGCCAGAGTTTCCAGCCGGGTTGTGTAAGGCCCCAGCAGGCCTGTCCCAGCAGCTGGGCCGCTGGCAGACATGTCCAGCCCCAGCCCCATCCTGCAGGTCCTGGCTGACCCCTCCTGCCACCCCCTGCAGTGCAGTGAGCACAGCCAGCAGCTCTGATTTCTGCATTTCCAAAGCAAAGATTTTGGAGTAACTTGTGCCTTCAAGAGACATGGCCAGAATGGGGCCAAAGGTCAACTGAGAAATCCAAGTGTCCTCCCAGCCCTGGCCCTAGTTTCCCACCTGTCTCCTTCAGAAGTGCTTCAGACACATAAGAAGACGTGTACAGCTGTACCCCCATGTCCACGGCGTTCCAGCTCTCCCACGGGATGCCTGGGACCCTCACATAAAGTGGCACAGTGTTTTTATACCCATAGTCCCCGCCCACATGCTTTGAATCATCTCCAAATGACTTGCAATACCTAATATCAAAGAAAATGCTATGCAGATAGTTGTCACATTGTGTCACTTAGGATTAAGTGATAGGGAGAGTCTTTACGTGTTCAGTACAGATGACACATTTTCTCATGTTTGGTCCGAGCCTGGCCGAGTGCGCAGATGCGGGATGCGTTGGCCGCTGCGCTCTCTTTCAGTAGGGAGGTGCTCTCTGCCCCAGGCTGGCCTTGGCCGTGCTGCTGATAAAAACCCGATGCTGTCGTCTACTGGGTTTTAAAGCTGGTTGTTCTAGGAGGGTGCCTGGCTCCCTGGCCTCCCACTGGGTCCCCAGGACTTTCAGAGGCAGGCACTACAGATTAGCGCTTGGCGCAGCCGCCTGGCAGCTGACCCAGCTTGGTCTGGTCTGGTCTTCTTGGTCTGGTCTTGGTCTGGTCTTCTTGGTGTGGTCTTGGTCTGGTTGTGGTCTGGTCGTGGCACTGGTGGCAGAGGCTCCACCTGTGTGTGTGGGGGGGCGTGATTCTGCAAGAAGTGGACCTCAGACCTTTCCCTAACCTCGTAACACTTCACGGCGTTTCCATTCTGTTGCTGTTGGAGTTACAGAGATGAAACCGGAAAGTGGAGCACAGCCTTGCCGAGGAGGTCTGTTTGGTCCCCGTGAGCACATCTGTAGGGCCAGTTCTGAGAGGTGAAGTGGAATCCAAGGGGACAGGGAAGGTTTTGTTTGTATCCAGCTTAATTTTTCTTTTTGGAAGCATTGGGGATTGAACCCGGGGTGCTCTACCACCGAGTCCTTGTCTGCTTTTTATTCTGGCTAAGTTGCTGAGGCTGGCCTTGAACCTGTCTGTGATCCTACCTCGGCCTCCCAAGTTGCTGGGATCCTAAGTCTGCGCCACTGCATCTGGCAGCTTAAAAAATTCTGATAACTTTATTTCAGATACAATTTATCATACCATTTATTTCTTTAAAGGGTACAACTTGGTGGCTTTAGTACAGTCACAGCCTTGTGTGCTGTTACTGTGATCATTCTGGACCATTTTCAGCAGCTGAGAAGACCTTTCACACCCCTTTGCCAACACCCCAGGTTCCTGCCCTGGTCCCACCAACCACAGACCTGCTTCCTGCCTCTGAGGATTTGCCCACTCGGAGCCCTCATGTCAGTGAGATGGTGCCACTTGGGTCCTTGTCTGGCTTCCCTCATGCAGCGTGGTGTGTTCAAGGGTCCACGCTGTAGCACGCGGCGTGCTTCAGTCCCCCTTTTTGCAGATTAGTCAGACTTCATCTCTTTACTATGGAAAGTGTCAGGTAGGTGTACAAGCAGGGTGGAAGGAACCCGTCACCGCTCCAGCAGTTGTGGCCTCTCTGTCACCGCCCTGCCCACCTCCCAACTTGTTTTTATTGTAGGGAGCTACCGTGCTGCCATCCATAAGATGGTGCTAGTTTCCAGTTACCCCAGGAGCGCCTGTTGTCCCCCATCCCTGCCAGCAACCATGGTGGGAAGCCATTTGGCTTTGGCCAGTGTAGCCGGTGGATAGAGCCATGCTACAGTTTTATTTCGTGCTTCCCTTGAAAGGAGTGCAGCCAATCACCTTTTGATAGATGCTGCTTCTGACAGAAGAGGAGACGGAGGGTCAGGGCAGTGGGTGCCTGCTCCAGGGCTCACCTTAATTCAAGAGGAGGGGACAGAGTTGTGGAAGAATCCAAAGTCAGGCCATGATCCATTTGCCGAGAAGCAGATGGATACCTCAGTGTCACCCATAGGCCGTCCAGGCGGAAAGCATTTGGGGCCAATCGAGGCAGGGCCTCCTCCACCCCACATCAGGTCCTGTCTTTCCCTGCCAGTCCTCAGCACCAAGTGTGCCAGGCCAAGAGATTGTGCTTGGGACACAGGGAGGCATGGTAGCCTCTCATGTGAGCCAGGCTCAATGTCACCAGCCCCCATGGTCCCCCTACCAGGGCTTGTGTGTGATCAGAAGCTCTGAAGTCCTCAGCGAGAGCTGACCACCCTGTCCTCAGGGCGTCACCTTTGCCCAGGCACTTGACAAAAACACAGATTCCTGAGCTGACCTCACAGGCCATTTTCAAGGCCACCAGGGAAACCTGAGTCAGGACGGGTCCTAGCTGATGTTCAGGAGTTCGTCAGGCGAGACGGGACAGGTGATGGGGACGGGTCTGGGTTGAGGGCATGTCCTTATTGATCTTTTGAGATGCATTCCGAGAAGAGTTATCACTGGGGGTGAAGTGACACCCTCTCTGGGGTTTGCTTTAACGTATTCCTGCAAAAACAATCATAACTAGCCAGAAAGAGGAGATGGGGGCAAGGATGGCCAACCTGTGGATCTGTAAAAATTGGGCTTTGGGGCCTGAGGGGTCACAGAATCTTCTAGGAAGTTCTCATAGAAAGAAGTTAAATAGCCCACATGCACACGGGACTGGGCCTGCAGCTGCCTCACCAGAGAATCCAGGGAAAGGTGGAGTGTGGCTGTGACTCTTCCTTAAGGGGACTTTGTTCTGTGTTCTGAGTGATGTTGCACTGATAGTTATAATCACCCCATCAGCGGTTCCCACCGGAAGCTCCTGGGGTTGTTGACAGGCCTTGCTCTAGGGACATACACAGGTTTTCTGGCTCACCTAAATTTTGGGATGTGCAGGGTTCAACAGCTTCCCTTGGGAGCTTTTTGAACCTGTACCCTGCAACCCCGGGAGGTGACAGGAAGCTGGAATATTCAGCAGTCATGACTGTGGAACCCTTCCTCAAGGTTGGCATTCCGTGGGACGCACATTGAGAAACAGGTTTCCCTGGCTCAGAATGGGCCTTGGCAGTACTGGGCAGGAATGTGAGTCCAAGGCAGGCCTCAATCAGAGGGTCCCAGTCTGCAGAGGAGACAGATTTAGAGAGAGGGAGTCTCTATCCAGGGGCCTCAGGGCTACAATAGGGGCGTCCCAGGCTCAGGAGCCACCACACGGGCCAGAGGACACCCGCTGGCCCAGGGCAGTGTCTGTCTCCTGCCAACCTGTGCTCATGCCCTCATCCATTTGCATATTGATTGACTTGTGATTGATTCCTTCCACACACACTGCCTGGGCCTCCCCAGGAGCCGCATCCTGTCCTGGACCTGCTGGGGGAGGAGGCCTCAGACCAGCCTGGCACTCTGACCCCAGGGAGCCCAAGGTGGAGTGGTGGTGTCACATCCCTCTGATACTCCTGCCTGTGGCCCTTCCTAGGTGTGATGGTGATGCTCACGGTAGTCCCCGGGGTGCACCCCCATTTTACAGCCTAGAGGATCAAGGCCCAGATGAGGGAAGGGGCTGCCCATCATATAGGGGTCAAGGGCATGGACTCCAAGTCTCAGCTCCCCTCCTTACTTTGAATGGCAAATATTGTCAGTTTCTTATTTTTTAAAACTATTTTTTTTAATATTTCTTAGTTGTAGATGAACACAATGCATTTATTTTTATGTGGTGCTGAGGATCGAACCCAGGGCCTCACACATGCGAGGCGGGTGCTCTACCACTGAGCCACAGCCCCAGCCCCTCAGTATCTCATTTTTCTGAGCCTCATTTTCCTCATCTGAGAGCAGGACTATAACAGTTTCCTGAGTCCTTTGGATTTGGGGACTCCGATTGTTCCAGACATCCCCATGCACCTTCTTTTGCTGGGCATGATTCCAGGCACTGGGGACATACCTGAGACCCAGACCCACCCTCTCCCGACCCTGCTGTTGGTCTTCAGGTGGAACAGCATGGAGCTGGAGACAGCTCCGTCCTCGCCACCTGTGCCCCTGCCCAGTGGTGTCCCCGGAGGACTCAGTTTTCTCATCTGTGAATTGGAAATGGCGAAGACCCCAGATGGCAGAGCTGGCCACTGAGCACATGCCTGTTACACACAGGAGGACACAAGGCCTGTCCTCTCTGTCCCCAGGCTGGCTGAGACCAGAGCTTATGCCCTGCCCCTGCCTGGCCCCAGCATTGCCCCTCGTCTCCCCTCACAGGCGGTTTCCCTCAGAAGTGGCCCTGGGAGTCCCTCGTGAGGTGGCAGGGCTGCCTCATCCTGTCCCTCCTCCTGTGCATCCAGGTGCCTGCTGGCCCGTCCCTGCTGTAGGGCTACTCCACCTGCCGGCCTGTGTTCTCCAAATACCTCAGCCCTGGAGAGACCAGGGCCTGGGGCTGGATGGGAGGAGGCCCTGTTAGCATTCCTGGGGCCCTCACCTGTCCCTGTCCACTCAGCCCCCCCCCCATCTCTGAGAGGGCAGCTAGAAGACACTGCCCAGTGGGGGAAACTGAGGCCCAGGAGGCCACCCAGATTTCCACAGCCACATGGCGAACTCCGCTGGTCAACAGTGAGCCCCATTTGGTCAGCTCTCTGCTGTGTTTCTTTAATCTGTTGATTCGTTAGGCTCAAGGTGGACTTTGCCAGAAATCTGCAGGAGAAAACTAACGGGCCCAGACAGACGGAGCCCTGCCCTGTGGGGTGTTCAGACTAGCAGGAGCATTGAGGGACCCAAATGAGTTAAAATTGGACCTGCCAAAGGGTGGAGAGGTGTCGGCATCTGGCCCCCCAGGAGGCAACACTTGGCTAAGTCCTGTGCTTGGGCAGAAATAACCAGATGCAGATGGTACAGGGATGGCGTCTGCCTGGCGGCAGCTGTCTGGGCAAAGGCCCAGGGGCAAGAGTGAGTGTGTTGGTGGAGCTGGGACAAGGCTGCCCGGCTGATAGAGCTGGATCAAGGTGGTGGGCTGGAGGGGCTGGAGGGGCTGGAGGGCTGGGAACCCAGTGCCATGGACCCTGACGCCAGAAGCAGGGGCGCTGCAGAAAGAACTGTTCCCCCCCAACAGGCCAGTGGAAGTTCATTTGTGAAAACACTTATAGAGTGCTTACTGAATACAGAGGGCAGGTTTGGGGGTAGATGGGAAGTATGGAAGGTCGTTTCCACAAGGAATTAGGGTCTCCCTGGAGATACAGAAGCTAACATTTGTTACACACCCTTCAGACTTCGCCAAGTGCCCCACGGGCTTTACCAAGACCTTCTGTTTTTTAGAATTCATGTTCACGCCTCGTCCAGGATTCCACGTCACCTTCAAGATCACACTTCTGGGTCGAGCCCTTTAGTCTGGGCCTGTTCCTTATCACTCATGACCCTGGCACTTCTGAAGAGGAGACTGGTGGTTTGGTCTCACTCTGGGTCGGTTTCCACAGGGTTAAATGCCAGTTTTGGTTTTGGCAGGAGTGTCCCAGAAGGCACGCCAGCCCCCTCCCCTCAGCCCACACGCTCCTCTTCCAAGTCAACCTGGTGCTGGGTGTGACATGAAAAAGCACATGTGGGTCCCAAGCATGCAGCCCCAGGGAGCTTCACAAGGGCGCATCCTGTATTGACAGCACCTCAAAGGCCCCTGGTGTCCCTTCACACCCCCAACACACCCTAAGTGCACCCCCTGCTGCCTGCTGACAGCGAGGAGCTGTTTCTCTTGCTCCTGGACTTGGTGCAGATGAAGTCAGCCCCCACCTGCATGACTTCACCGAGTAAACAGATGATCCTGGTGTTTCCATGAAAGCCACCGGTGCAGACAGCCTGCCCAGGCGCGACTCCCTGCCTTGGCTGTTGAAGGATTGGGGAGGTTCTGGAAGGGCAGCCACATCTTGATAACGCCCGCAGCCAAGCACAGGCTTCCCTGGGATTGCAAAAGGGGCTCCTCCTGGAAAATCTGCTGTTATTTTAAAAACCCAGAATACTTTTGTGTTCATCTGCAAAACAGTTGTGAATTAGAATCTCAGAAAATCACAAACCATTATTTCATGCACTCAAATGTCCCATGAGACATTTAGAAGTCATCTAGGGTGGGAACAGTTCTTTGTGATGCAGGATGTTTGGGACTGGATATCAATGTTTGGACACCTGGGACACTCCTGCCACCTTCAACCCCTCCCCCAGGAGACTGCAGGACCCTGGACTCGCAGGCCACCTAAAACTGCATGGAGAAGCCAGTACAACCCTCCTTGTTAGGCTGCATTTGCAAATCCACCTGTTCAGGAGATTTATTTATAAGCCCCAAATCAGTACTCCTGCTGTTTCTGTGGGCACTTGCTGTCGTGTACAACAGGGCAAAATTTGTGCCAGGGAACAGTCAATTCCAGAGAGGTGCGGCCCACCTCTGGTCTGGCTTGGTCTCTCATTCCGTAAACTGTTGCCCTTTCGTGGTGTATTTAGTAGAACGTTTTCACGTGTTTCTGCTTTTTTGTTGGTGATCTCACTGTCTAAAAATGTCGCCTGAGCAAGTGTTGAAGTGCCATCTAGCGTTCGATGAGCCTCCCCCTGAGTCTGGTGAACCTCACGGGAGTGTGCGCGCCAGGAGCTCAGGGTGCCAGGTCTGCAGGGTACTATGTCAATAAGGTGTCTCTAAGAGAAACGCACGAAACACGAGGTGACTTACTGATCAGTTGGTGAGAACGTAATGAACAGAGCTCACAGGAGCCAGACCTGGTGTTTCCACCGAAGCCTCGGTTCCTATTCTCATCCGCGGGCTCAGGGCCCGCGGTGACCGTCGACCGGAACTAGCGCCAGTCTCGAGAATCGAGGGCACTTTGTTTTCTCCCGTTTCTCGGTTGTTACGTTGATCTTACCTCGGATTTTCAGTCAGCGGTTTAGAAACCTTTGCGTAGCCCCGTGGACCGTCCTCATTCATTTCCGCTTGTGGGACGGACCGAGGGCCAAGCAAAACCCCCCGAGTGCTGGTGAAGCCAGCCCCAGCCCCATGTCAGCGGCCTGCGTTGATCCGGCCTCATTTTTAAAGGCCTGTCCAGGTCCAGGCAGGTTTTTAGTCGAGGGGTGGTGGCAGGCTTCGCCTTAGGGTCGTCAAGTTTAATTTTCAAGGGGCTGATCCGTGCTGCGCTAGTGGTCCGGTGACGAGTGGCCGGTGACATCTGGCTTTGTCGCCCCCAGCTATGCTGCGCACGGTGTCCGCCGTGCTCCAGTTCGGCAACGTGGTTCTCAAATCGGAGCGGAACACGGACCAAGCCACCATGCCCGACAACACAGGTACTGCGCCCGCGAGCCCTGCCCACGGGGTGGGGCCCCCTCCCCAGCCTCCCGCCCAGGGCCACTCTGACTCCCTGTCCCTGGCGGAGGCCTGCCCAAGTCACATCCCGCGCGCTTCCTGTCATTCGGAAAAGCTTGAGCTCCGCTGAGCCTTTCCACGACCCCAGCAGCAGGGCGCCCTGCCCACCGGCCCCTCGGAGAGAACCACCCGTAGCTTTTGGCAAATCTCCTCCAGGACTGTGCCCTCTGCTTATATGCCTTATTTTTTTTTTTCTTTTCAAAAGCAGAATTATAGTCAATATTCCTTTTTTTTTTTTAACCAAAATGAAAATATCTATGCTTCTGTATCATTACATACCAATACAGGATGGAAGGAGAAAACTCCGGTGAGACAGAGAGAAAATGCCTGTAATCATATCTCTGAGAAATGACTGCTCTCTGGGCTTTGCTGTATATCTGTACTAGTGTGGATGTAGATTGTCACAGAAATATGGTCATATTTCACATGGCTCCCCCTAGAGATCAGAAGAGCCTTCTGCCCTGGTTATAAAATCCTCTGGGCTCATTTTCAAAAGCTGCCCAGCCCAGAGCATCTGAGGAAGCCGGGCGACCCCAGCAGGCTGTGGGCTGTGGGACGGGCAACACTATCTGGGGCCCTCAGGGCTGAGTCAAGAATCCAGCAAAGGTGCCATGCACATGCAGATTTTTGCTTTATGAAATTGGGACCAGACCTCACAAACTATCTTGAAACCTGCTTTTTCCTCTTAGTGCATTGAGGGCAACTTTTGAGGTTAACTAGACAGAGATTTCTTAATCTGGGGTCCACCGGTGGAGCTGTACATCTCTGTCATTGGTCCCCTTTGAAATTTGTGCAATTTTGATTTCTGCATTTGCAAACATGAATCAGAGAAGCACTCTGTGGGCTTTCTTAGCAGATGCCACAGGGCCCACAAGGCTGAGAACCCATGAACAACACTCTGTTGGTGGCTGCGTAGTGCCCCACGGCCTGCTAACCACGTGCTGTTTTGAGTCCCGTCATTTAGCCCTGAAACTCCACACGTGGAATGCACAGAGACCCGGCAGAATCAGAATGCTGGGCTGGGGCATGGCTCAGGGTAGAGCTAGGGCTTAGCATTCCAGGCCCTGAGTTCCATCCCCAGATCTTGAAAGAAAGAAAGAAAGAAAGAAAAAAAGGATTAGAAACTGCAGTCACATGCCCACACCAAAGGAGAAATTTAAATCCTCCTGTCCTCACCTCTCAGATGTAATGACCAGTGACATTTTGATGCTATTTCCTTCCGGCATTTATCTTTAATGCTGAGGCTGAGCATTTGTAGTAACTGCTCCCCATGATGGAAGTGACAGAGGCTTGAGGACATTTCTTTATTATGGGTTTAGCCCAGAAACGTGAAACTCCCTTCCGGCACAATCTCGCCCTTCTCCTGCCCCGCATTGTGCTGTCCGTGCATTTCTCCCTGCAGTTTTTAACCTGTAAAAATAAGATGGACTTTGCATGATTCTTTTAAGACATTTTAGAATTAAATGAAAATTGCAAAGTATTGCACATTTTATTCGAGTTCATAAACTATTTCCCAATATAACGCCCCCCCCATTATTTTCTTGGTAAAACACATTTGAAAATCAAAAGGACTTATGTTTTATTACTATTTCTTTTGGCAGTACTGGGGATTGATCCCAGGGGTGCTCTGCCACTGAGCCACATCCCCAATCCTTTTTATTTTTCACTTTGAGACAGGATTTGGCTAAGTTGCTGAGGCTGGCTTCAAGCTTGCAATCCTCCTGCCTCAGCCTCCTGAGCCTCTGGGATCACAAGTATGCACCACCCCACCTGGCTTGAAAAGGACTGATTTAGAATTAGGTTGTGTTTCTGCAAAGGATCCTATCCTGCTCCTTCTTTTACCCGCAGTCGCTGAACTCTAGGCTGTTCGCTGGCCTCCGTTAGGAACAAGGGTGTGATGAGCAGCGTAGTCTTTGCTCACGTCCTGGGTCATTCTGTCTGGTTATTAATTCTCTAGCTCCTACAGTGATTGGGCCGGAACATCACACTTAGGACTGAAAACACCCCACGGAGAAGGCCCCGGCTCTCCGTCCCACCCCCTCGCCGCCGCAGCCCCCCTTGGTACTGATGGGTCTTCCTTCCTCCTTCCTCCTTTCTCTTCAGCTGCGCAGAAGCTCTGCCGCCTCCTGGGACTGGGAGTGACCGACTTCTCCCGCGCCCTGCTCACACCCCGCATCAAAGTTGGCCGAGATTATGTGCAAAAGGCCCAGAGCAAGGAACAGGTAGGCGGGGCCTGGCATTGAGGCCCCAGCTGGGGAAGACAGAGTTTGGAAGTGATACGGACCCCGGTTCCACTGTTAGCTGGGGTTTTTCTGTTAGTACCCGATTTTCATATGAAGGAACTGAGGCACAGAGAGGTTTATTTTCATGTCTTAAGTCACACAGCCTTTAAGTGTTAGAGCTGGGATTCCAGCCCAGTTTATCTGGCTCCGGAGTCCAGCTCTTAATCCCGACATGGAAATTGACTTGAGGCATGGGCCAGACTGGTGAGCTGGCCTGCTGGGAGCACTTGGCCCCATCGCTGGCAGCAGTGGGGCTTCCTTCATGGAGGGCTGTTCTTGGTGACGTTCATAACCAAGAAGCTGGGGGTGAAGCTCGAGGGGCCAGGACTCAGGGCCCAACCACGGTCTCCTCCACGGCTGGGGACGGGCTGGGGCCTCACGGTGCTGCGTCCCCGTCCGTCCGCAGGCCGACTTTGCGCTGGAGGCCCTGGCCAAGGCCACCTACGAGCGCCTCTTCCGCTGGCTGGTGCTGCGCCTCAACCGTGCTCTGGACCGCAGCCCCCGCCAGGGCGCCTCGTTCCTGGGAATCCTGGACATCGCGGGCTTTGAGATCTTCCAGGTCTGTTGCTTGTGCTGGGACAGGGCTGCCAGACTCCACCGCTGCCGCTTCCCTCGGGGTCTCTGCCGCGCCCCTGTCCCTCTCTGGCTGGGCGACGGTCCCTCTCAGGTTTGCCCCTGTGCCGCTCACCCCTGTGCCGCTCCCTGCAGCTCAACTCCTTCGAGCAGCTGTGCATCAACTACACCAACGAGAAGCTGCAGCAGCTCTTCAACCACACCATGTTCGTGCTGGAGCAGGAGGAGTACCAGCGCGAGGGCATCCCCTGGACCTTCCTCGACTTCGGCCTCGACCTGCAGCCCTGCATCGACCTCATTGAGCGCCCGGTGAGCTGCGCCGGCTGGTGCCCTCTGCACCCACCAGCCCTGGCCTCGGGGCTCTGGGGGCTTTGGTGCCCCCATTGGTGCTTCTTAGAGCCCTGCCACCAGGAGGCAGTAGGGACCCGGAATGCCCTGCCACAGGGCCTTGTCACTGGGTTCATGAACTAATCTAACTATTGTCCTCACATCTGGTTCTAGGCCCAGGTGTTGCTTGTAGGACCTAAAAATCAGCAGCAACCTAAGTGGCCAATATTTGGGGATCTGTCTTACTCTCCCCTCCTGTCCATGGTCAGGCTAACCCCCCCGGACTCCTGGCCCTGCTGGATGAGGAATGCTGGTTCCCCAAGGCCACGGACAAGTCATTTGTGGAGAAGGTAGCCCAGGAGCAGGGAAGCCACCCCAAGTTCCAGCGCCCGAGGCACCTGCGGGATCAGGCTGACTTCAGTGTCCTGCACTATGCAGGCAAGGTAGGGGGCTGGGGATGGCCTTGGGACAAGTGGGCAGGAGTGGGGATCAAGGGGTCTCTACTTAGCTGCAGGGGTGGGGAGGACACAAAGGGAAAGCAGGGCCCCTGATTTCTAGTCACAGACAAACAGGGACCAGGAGAGCCCAGGAAGGAGCCAGGACTCCGATGAAGTCAGAAAAAAACTTCCTCCAGGGGGGATATTTGCAAGGTTTTGAGGAATGGGTAGGAGTTCACCAGAGGGTGTCTCCTTTTTTTCAGTCATTCAGCAAACATGTGCAAAGGCCTTTTGTGTGCCTTGCTCTGTGCTGAGCATAGCTAGGGACATAAGTCAAGTATGGTTTCTGTCCTCACAAACTTCCTTATTGGGAGGGATACTAGTACAGGCTGTGAGGATGTAAGCCTGGCAGGAACTTTAACAGGGGCAGCTACGTTAAGAGGAAGGCCAGGAGGCCTCCATGAGAATACTGCTCCATCAGAATGGCCCGCTGACGTTTTCTGTAAAGGGCCAGACAGCAATAGCGTCAGCTTTGTGGGTCGATGGCCTCTGTCACAGCGACACAATTTTGTTGTAGCATGAAAGAAGCCACTGCTAACACAAAAGAACACTGTATCCAGTAAAACTTTAATAGAAAGAGGCTGCAGGCTGGATGTGGTCTGTGGTCTTAGTGAGGAGGGGGCGCTGGCAGCCAAGAGAGAACATCAGAAGGTGGGTTGTGCTCTCCAGGCACAGAGCACAGGCGGATAGGGTAGGGGATGTTGTTCCCACTGCAGACACCAGGTGGCGCCCACGCTCTGGTCCCTGGGAGCTGCATGGGGCTCAGCCGCCCAGGGAGCTGGTGAGCCCAAGACACATGGTCTCTCTCTGGCTCCATCAGGTGGACTACAAGGCCAACGAGTGGCTGATGAAGAACATGGATCCACTGAACGACAATGTCGCAGCCTTGCTTCACCAGAGCACTGACCGGCTCACGGCAGAGATCTGGAAGGACGGTGAGGACCACCTTCCTAGGGCCTGTCCCTGGGTGCCTGCACATCCCTCTTCCTGCTCACAGTGTGGCCATTTTGATGAGCTCTCTGCTCAGACCCAGAGCCCAGGGCTCACAGATAGTGTTTCCAGTTAGTGGCGGATGGATGTGTCATTTGGTTGATATCTTCAACCAGCATCCCATTCAAGGATAAAACACTCCCTTCATCAGAAGCAACACAATGATGTCTACTATTGATTGGCCTGCTGTCAATCACTGTTTTTAGAAATACTAGCTTATGCAATCAGACCAGAAAAAGAAATAGGTACAGTCATCCCTCAGTTCACTAGGACTTGGTTTTTGCATTCCTTTCAAGTACCAAAGTCTGTGAATATCCAAGTCCTTTGTATACTATGGAGTATTAGTTGCATACAACCTACACACATCTTTCTATATACTTAAAGTCATCTCTAAATTAGTTATGATACCTGATATATTATAAATGGTATAAATAACTATTATACTGTATTCTTTAGAGAATAATGGCACACACACCCCACCAAAAAAAAAAGCTGTAAATATTGATTATGGATTCAGGAGGTTTTCTCTGAATATTTTCAATCCACAGTTTGTTGAGTCCATGAATATAGAACCTGCAGATATGGAGAGCAAGTTGCATATGGATATTCTAATGGAAGAGAGAAACTTATTTGTAGATCTATGTATAAACATATGTAGGAATACTTGTAGACAAACGTTCCCTAAAATAAATTAGGAGATTCTACTAAAAAGGGATTAACGACCACAAGAGAACCTAGAAAGGGATTCTGTAGGCTCATTGGCTTTGGGTCTTTGCTTTCTTCACTTGATTACAAAGTCCCCTTCCAGCCCCTGAGGAGGAGAGGAACCACAGGCTGAGATATGGTTTGCCGGGGTTTTCCTGCTCCAACAAGGAAAGAGTTTGGCCATCCATGTGCTTGGGGGCATCGGCAGCAATGTCAGGTGCCTTCATAGCAGGATCCTGACCTTCACCAGATGTTTTGTCTGCTGTCCTCATCTTGAGGGCAGGTTTGAGAAATGATTTTATAAACTGGCAGAACCAGCATTTTGATTTTGAATTTGTGAATTTGCCATAACCTTTTCACTGATCTGGAGAGTGTAGCTGTAGAAGTACCAGCCCGTGCAATTAGGCAAGAAAACAAAATAAGTGAGGTGAGCTGCTTCTAGAAAAAAGAGCACACAATGCCTTCATCTTATGAGCTGATGTCATCAAGAAGAATTTGATTTTTGTGTCTCGTATTGTTTACACCAGAGAGTGAAAAGCAGCATTTGATATTCAGATTCTGCTATGAAAATCATCTCTGAAAAAATCTCCCCTGCTATTCTTTAAAACAGGTGCCCCCTCAAGGATACACAAATCCCCCAGTGAGCCCACATTTTTCACATCCAGTGTGTGCCTAGCTCATGAGAGAAAGTGGAGGCTGTGAAGCTTCCTGAATCCAGGTTGGGAGCTGGTATAGTCGAACTTCCTCCAAGCTCTCCTAAACAAAGGCACTCATGAGGCCAGTCCAGATTCAAAGCGTTAGACGTCACAGGCAAAGGATTCCAAGTGAGGAAGGGAATGGAATTGGGGCCATTTTGGGTATTCACGTCTAGTGTAGCAGCCTGGATCATGAATTGGGCATACTGCATCCTGGCAGCCAGGGGAAAGGTAGATGAGATAAGCTGTCCTCTGAGTGGCTGAACTAACAAGTGTGCTGGGAGCATCAAGTTAGTTCTTGAGCTTCCTGGAAGCCTGGGGAAATAGGAGATATATCGCCATCTGTCCTAGCTGGCGACCTCATGCTGGGATCACAAAATTTGACTATGCCAGTAATTTAAGAAAATGACAAAGCACAAAAACACACAGAAGAACCTTTTCAATAATGGTAAGGAGTTGGCTCTGTGACCTTAGGGGTCCATGGAAAGAGAGAGAGCCACCAGAATTCTTTATTCTTATATAGGGGACACACAAGGGCAGGTTCCATGGAACATTCTGTCCCAAAAAGGGCAAAGGTAGGATTACAAAGGAACAGGTGAGGGTAGCTCATCCCCATGGGTGACGCCTACACCTGGAGCCACATTGTCATATGAGCTGGGGTAACACCCAAGTTCCTGGGACCTGGCACTGCACCGCCAGACTGCAGGCAATAATTGGTCAGAAGCCAGTGCATCGGGACTTAAAGGCATCTGCATCCAGGGCAGCTCCTGACAGGGATCCCTATTAAAAACAGACAGACACAGCCTTTAGGAAGAGAGAGTTTTCCCCTCATGCTCAAGGCCCATAGAGGACATTCATCCTGTCAGCCAACACCGATTCCCTCAGTGGGTAGATATAAAGGTGAACAGGACTTGAAAATCTCATGGCCAACATTCAGGCTTCCCACCTGCTCTGCTCTGTGCTCTTGACTAACGACCTCTCCTCTATTTCTTCATGCCATCTTCTCTCCCTCCATGCATCTCTCTGCCATCTCCCCTCCCTCTCATCTGCCCTCACTCCCCAGAACACGGGGGCCTCCAGCAGCTCTCCTTCCTTGGCTCCTTCCCCCCGTCACCCCCAGGATCTGCAGGGAGGCGCGGCTCCGACACTCCTCTGCCAGGGGGTGGGTGTCCCTGTGCATCGACGGGTGAGGCTGCTGGACAGGGAGGGTGGACTGTTGAGCTGGGGACCTGGTTTGAGCATCATCCAGCCCCTCTCCTCTCTGTTGGAGGTCTCTCCCTCCCGCTCCCCCCCAGGCCGGCCCCCTCTGCAGTTTCCAGTGTCTAACTGACCCTCAAGGAAAGTACAGACAAGCATGGTAAAGCTGTGTTTTTTTTTGTTTTTAATTTTTTATTTGTTCTTTTAGTTATGTTTCTTGAACACAACTTACTATGTGCTGTTCATGATATGAAGCTCTCTTATGATCGACACCCAGAATCCTCCTCACAACCCAGTGAGGAGGATGTTAGGACTGTTACCCCCATTATGCAAATGAGGAAACTGAAACACAGAAAAAGGTTAAGTAACTTGCCCAGAGTCACACAGCCGCTAAGTGGCGGAGCTGGGATTTGAACACAGAACCTTACTTCTTCCCTAGGCTCTAAGCACTTGATAATTATCATTTTGAAAATGACTGAAAGCATGAGAGTGGGGGAGAGTTGAACCCAGGGAGGAACAAGTCACACTCCAGGCCCTGCCCTAAGGCTGGATTATCCAGTTGACCACTGATGGCCTTTAGGTGGGTTGAGTTTCGCAGGACGTCAGATTCTGCCCGGCTGCAGGTTTCTGAGAACCCGGCCTGATTCAGTGCACAGAATGTGAGATGACACAGAAGAAAGGTGTGTCAGGTTTATGTTACTAGCTGAAATGGCCTCGCCAAGTGGCAACAGAGGTCAAAGGTTACTGAGAAATTGAAGCTTTCTAGAAAAGGAGCTTAGAGGGAAGCACTGTGCCCTGTTCAGAGGTCACACGTGACAACTGTCTTTATCACATTTTCAAGGTGTCACTGTTCCATGCTCCTGCTACTGCACTGGGGTTGCTCTCCCTGTTTCCCTCTCTGGGCCTCAGTTTCCTCCTCTGTAAAATGGGAATGACCCTAGGCTTACACGCAGCTGTGTGTGAACTGCTCTGAGCACAACCAGGGAGAGTAGAGTCTCTACAAGTCGTAGGTGAGGGGCATCCTCAGGCGCATCGTCAGACGCCGCGTGTCTGATGAAGAAAGCATCTCATCCTTGAGAAGAGGGATCTGAGATCCCGGGGAGCTGGAGAGGGCGCACACTGAATCTTCTGAGCCGTGTGACCTCCTGCACAGTCTCTGGTCCCTCAATCTGCCCTTCTATCCAATGGGGCTGACAAGAGCCACCTCCCGGGCTGTGTGCCCTGGGCATTTATGATGATATGAAATGATAAAGTTCCAGGTCCCATAAGTCCCATAAGCGCAGCTCCTTCAAGCTGACCGGACTCCCCCTCTCTGTTTCCGCCGCCCACAGTGGAGGGCATCGTGGGGCTGGAACAGGTGAGCAGCCTCGGGGACGGCCCTCCAGGCGGCCGCACCCGCCGCGGCATGTTCCGGACAGTGGGACAGCTCTACAAGGAATCCCTGAGCCGCCTCATGGCCACGCTCAGCAACACCAACCCCAGCTTTGTTCGCTGCATCGTCCCCAACCACGAGAAGAGGGTGAGTGCGCCCGCGCAGGGAGGCAGGACGGCCCCATGGGGGTAAAGGCCCGGGCTGGTCCTTGGCCGCACCTACACGGGATCCGTTTTCGATTCGTCGCCCGCTGGTTCTGCCCGGCGCGTGGCGCCCCCTTGTGGCCGCCGCCGACCCCGCGTGTCCGCTCCCTCTCCGCAGGCCGGGAAGCTGGAGCCGCGGCTGGTGCTGGACCAGCTGCGCTGCAATGGCGTCCTGGAGGGCATCCGCATCTGCCGCCAGGGCTTCCCCAACCGCATCCTCTTCCAGGAGTTCCGGCAGCGGTGAGCGGGCTGGCCCGTGGCGGGGCTGAGTGGCCCGCAGGTGTGGGAGCCCCCGCAGCTTCAGTATCCTCAAAGCTACTTGTGAAGTGGGGCCGTTGGGACCAGGGACACACTGAGTCCTTGTGTCCTCCTCCGTGAATTGGGAGGACAGTACGCATTCAGTTGCCCTCCATACAAAGCACGCAGAACGCTTAGGGACCTGGGCATGTCGTGCCTCTGTTGGGACCAGGGACCCTGAATCATGACTGAACTCACCCCAGCGTGTCGCAGCCTGCGCTTTAACACGGAAGCAGAACAGGCTGGAGTCTGATAAGCAAGGGTAACAAAAAGTGTGCTCCCCCAAGCCACAGAGAGCGCGTCACCCTTTAAACAGAACGCGTGCTGCATGGAGCCCTGGAAACGTTCTAGTAGCCACGTTTTTAAAAAGTAAAAGCAACAGGCAAGACTGGCTTTAACACTCTTACCTAACTCTTACCTAACCCGGTGCATCCAAAGATTTTAACATGTGATCAATATGAAAAAAAAATTAACAGTGGGGTATTTTGCACAACTGATTTCCTGGCCAGTTTAGGAAATCTAGTCTTGGTGGCTAGAACGAACGCTGTTCCTCTGCCCTCCCTGCCCACCACAGGTATGAGATCCTGACGCCCAACGCCATTCCCAAGGGCTTTATGGATGGGAAGCAGGCCTGTGAGAAGATGGTGAGTGTGCGGCAGCAGGGAGCTGTGCCCACCCACTTGCCCACATAGGGACCCAGACACAGGAGGGGGAACTGGGACCTCCCCTCCCCCACCTCCTGATCCTCCCCTTCTTCTCCCCCGCCCCATTGACCCCTTCATCCCTCACAGATCCAGGCCCTAGAACTGGACCCCAACCTCTACCGTGTGGGACAGAGCAAGATCTTCTTCCGGGCAGGGGTTCTGGCCCAGCTGGAAGAGGAACGGGACCTGAAGGTCACCGACATCATCGTATCCTTCCAGGCAGCTGCCCGGGGATACCTGGCTCGCAGGTGGGGGTCTTGCCGTTCCTCAGGAACCTGTTGGCTGAGGGCAGGTCAGGGAGAGGTTGACCAGATGACCCTAAGTGTATATGTGTGTGTGTGTGGGGGGGGGGGTGGACACAAAGGTGGAAGGACTAAGGGGAGTTTTGCCCTGGCTTCTTGGTCCTGTGGCCAAGTGCTGTTGAAGACAGCGGAGTGGCCCAGCCCTCCTGGGTTTGCATGGGTCTTGATTTCCCAGGATGCAGGACTCTCAGGTTTGAAGCAGAGAAGGCCTGGGGTAAAGGCCCTTGGTGCGGGGCCTGGCATGTGTTAGGATGCAGGAAGTTTGGGGGTGCCTCCTGCCCCCTTAAAGGTGGCTCAGAGAATGCCGAGCATAGCAGAAGAGGGAATCCCAAACACCAGGCTGGGGGGCACTGGGGAGCCAGGGAGGGCTGGGATCAGGGAGGGCCAGCTCTGGATGGAGGAAGATCCCTCTGAGGGCCTGCTGGGGTGGACACAGGAGAGAGGGTGGGAGATGGGAGGCGGGGGAAGAGGTGGGGAAGGGGCTAGGTCAGGAGGATGTCACCTGAACTGGGACTGGGGCTCTGGGCCAGGCAGAGAGAGCTGAGGACAGGAGGACTAACGAGATCCACCTACAGCAGAACAGGCCGCACACCCTGGGCATTTAGGAATGGGCAGGAGGAAGGAGCTCCAGCCCCTTGCTAAAGGGACTCTCCATCGCCTATCCCCGCCCAGGGCCTTCCAGAGGCGCCAGCAGCAGCAGAGCGCCCTGAGGGTGATGCAGAGGAACTGTGCGGCCTACCTCAAGCTGAGGCACTGGCAGTGGTGGCGGCTCTTCATCAAGGTGAGGGCAGCTGGAGGGTGGGAGGCTGAGTGGCCGGATGACAGTGTCTACCTGGACAGTGACTTCTTCCATTCAAGCCTCAGATTTCTGTATCTGTAGAATCCGTGCAACCTTTGTTAACCAGGGTTTTTTTTTTTTAGTTGTGCATGGACAGAATGCCTTTATTTGTTTTTTATTTTTATGTGGTGCTGAGGATTGAACCCAGTGCCTCACACATGCTAGGCAAGTGCTCTGCCACTGAGCCACAACCTCAGCCCTACCCAGGATTTTTTAAGTAGCAAGTGACAAGAAAATCTGACTCAAGCCAACATGGTTAAAAGATACAGGGAAGCTTCAGTTACAGCTGGATCCAGGGCAGAAGGAGCCCGCCTGAGCTTGTTGTTTAGGGTTGTCAATGAGATTTTAATCAGGTCCAGTGGGAAGATATCAAGCAGAGTTGTGTAAAACTGAATAGAAAACAAGAGAACCAAAATTGCCAGAGTGCATCCCACTTAGCAAGGCCGGAGCAGTTTGGTGAGACTCTGGTTGCAGTTATGTGGTGCAGACCCTGCACCTGTCCCTCCCACCTACATCAGGCAAAGTAAAGTGCATCTCCCACTCTGGACTTTGGGTTTAGGACACTGCACAGAGGAGCAGGGGCCACAGGCCACAGAGGATGACTTCAGGGGGAAAACAAATGTGTTAATGCACTTAATGGGGCTTGCTATGTCCCTGTCAACGTTTTACACTCTTTAGAAGGGGTAACTTATTTATTCATTTATTTTTGTACCAGGAATTGAACCCAGGGGCACTCAGCCACTGAGCCACATCCCCAGCCCCCTTTTGTATTTGATTAGAGACAGGGTCTCGCTGAGATGCTTAGGGCCTTGCTAAGTTGCAAGGCTCCTGCCTCAGTCTCCCGAGTTACCGGGATTACAGGGGTGTGCCACGGCGTGCAGCCTACAAAGAGGATAATCGGAGCACCCTGTGAAGTAGGGGCCGTTAGATGGGCGAGGAAGCAGGTGGGGGCTTCCCACAGCACCAGGAATGCTTAGCCCCTGGGCCTCCAAGCGGCCTCCCACCATGGGAGCCACCAATCCATCACCCCTCCCCTCTCTCTAGGTGAAGCCACTGCTGCAGGTGACACGGCAGGACGAGGTGCTGCAGGCGCGGGCCCAGGAGCTGCAGAAAGTGCAAGAGCTGCAGCAACAGAGCGCCCGGGAAGTAGGGGAGCTCCAGGGCCGAGTCGCACAGGTGAGGGGCGGGTGGTGGGCGGGGCCACCGGGGCGTGGTCAAGAGAGCGACGGGGCAGGGCCACAGGAAAGGAGGACGGGGCGGCCAGCTGTGAAGGGCGGAGCTTCTGCTCCAGCCCCAGTGCGGGACGGGGATGCCAGGAGAACTGTGGGGCACAGCAGGGTGGACTGCAGCTGTGCAGCGCCCTGAGGGCGGAACTGCAGTCTGGGGTCAGATTGGGGTCGCAGAGTCCGCAGAGGTGGGATGGGAGGACAGTAAGGTGGTGGAGTTCTAAAGTGTTTCCCGCATGTTTCCTATCTGAAATGCTTCTGGGGTAGTTTTCTGTTGGTTTTTTATTTTTATTTTTCATTTTTGGTCCCAGGCATTAAGCCACCGAGCACTTACCCACCGAGCCACGTCCCCAGCCCTTTTTTTTTGTATTTTATCTCTAGAGACAGGGCCTCGCTGAGTTGCTGAGGGTCTCGCTGAGTTGCTGAGGCTGAGTTTTGAACTCGAGATCCCCCTGCCTCAACCTTCAGAGCCCCTGGGATTAGAGGCTTGCGCCACCGCGCGGGGCTCTGTTGACTTTTTCTGAATTATTTTGGTTGGGTCGCGGTCGCAGTTAGTTGATTAAATGAAAGGCGAGGTGGGACCGGCTCTCGCTGGGTTAGCTGGAGTCTGTACTGAAAGGGGGGGGACTGGCCAGGAGTCCTGAGGAAGGGGCTGGAGAGGAAAAATCCAGGACGGAGAGGGTGAGATCTGAGCCTGCGGGGCTGTGGGGACAGGGAGGAGGGGCCAGGGCAGCGTCTAGGACAGGAGGGACAGAGCTGGGGACCGATGGGCGGTGGGAGGTGGAGAGACAGATGCAGATGCGCCCCCCCCTCCCCGCGATAGGAAGGTCCTTCTGAGAGGGCGACCCGAGGAGGCGCCTCCCACCCACTCCTGCCCCCAAAGCAAGTTCGGTAACAGGAAGGTCGTGGCGCTCCACGAAGGGCCACCTTGGGAGCCCTGCCTGCCGACCGCTGACCTCTCGCCGCTCCCCAGCTGGAGGAGGAGCGGAGCCGCCTGGCGGAGCAGCTGCGGGCGGAGGCAGAACTGTGCGCGGAGGCTGAGGAGACGCGGGGGCGGCTGGCAGCCCGGAAGCAGGAGCTGGAGCTGGTGCTGTCGGAGCTGGAGGCCCGCGTGGGCGAGGAGGAGGAGCGCGGCCGCCAACTGCAGGCGGAGAAGAGGAGGCTGCAGCAGCACATCCAGGTCTGGCCTCGACTTCCCGCCATCTCCCTGGACCCTTCTGTCTACCCCAACCGCCTTTGCTTCTACATATCACGTTTCTTTTGCCATGAATTTACAGAAAAATGTCAGCTCCACATGACGTCTTTAGGGTAGACCCTAAAACATGTAAGCTTCAGGTATGGCTGGGTCCAGGCACTCAAGTGATATCCTCAGCACTGCGCCTCTCTCCATCTCCTGTGTTCACAGGCAGCTTCACTTCCGTGGCTCCTCCTCAAGATTTAGTGTGTTTCACCCTCAAGGCCTGTCTCAACTTGGACGCTGTGTTTTCACTGGAAACATTTGATCCATACTTACATTTCAAAGCTTCTACAGTTTAAAAAAGTAGATTCACAAACCCAGCTTGTTCCAGACACTTTAGATTTCTCACAGTGTCTGGTCTTAAGTTTCAAATAAACAAAGTCGAAAATTTGGTTCCCCAGCCACAATGGCCACATTTCAAGAGCTGTGTGGAGTTTTAATGGCCTCCTCTTCGACTCCTTGGTGGGGGAGGGACCGTGCCCTAGAATTTGGGGACACTGAACTCAGGGTACCTGAAAGATTGCAGGGACAGACCAGATTGACAGCAGCTCATGAGTCATAAATACAGCTCCCTAGAATCATTTCATGGCAGGGAACTGACACGTCCTCTCAGGGTTAGGCTGCAAGTGCTGGGTCCCCTGATCAGGAGGGGAGATGGCCGGGGAGCAGAGTGGTCAGTACCCGTCTACATGATTTGTGTGTGTCTTTATTATGCTTACCGGCGGCCTCGATCTGCATCCCCCAGTGCACTCGGGGGAATGTGATTTCCATTAGCCTCCCCAGGCCTTAGATACGCTTGTGAACCAGTGAAGGAAGTGGGGAGGGCAGTGAGGATTTGGCGCTGTGCAGGGTGTGGACCTGTCTGCACCACAAGCCCCAGAGGTCTGTGGGGCGCCCTGCCCACTCCCTTCTCCCTCCAGGAGCTAGAGACCCACCTGGAGGCGGAGGAGGGGGCTCGGCAGAAGCTGCAGCTGGAGAAGGTGACGACAGAGGCGAAGCTGAAGAAGTTTGAGGAGGACCTGCTGCTCTTGGAGGATCAGAATGCCAAGCTGAGCAAGGTGGGGCCCTGGGAGCTGGGGGTGGGGTCGGGGTGTCTGCCAGGTGACAGGGATGAAGAATTGGGGTCCAGGTGCTAGAACGAGCTCTGGACACCTATAAGCAAAACCCAAACAGCCGTAGAGAAAAGTGCTTCTCCTACACCTTAAACCATCTCTCGGCCGGGCGTGGTGGTACACGCCTGTAATCCCAGTGATGTGGGAGGCTGAAGCAGGAGGACTGCAAGTTCAAAGCCAGCCTCAGCAATTCAGCAAGGCCCTAAACAACTTAGCGAGATCCTGTCTCAAAATAAAACTCTTCAGGGCTGGGGATGTGGCTCGGTGGCTAAGCGCCCTGGATTCAATCCCATCGAAACAACAGAAACAAAAATGCTGCGGAGATTGGGCCGGCTGGGCTCAGCCTCAGGCTGAGGTGCGCCAGAGGCCAGCAGCAACCTGGGCTCTCTCTTCTCATGGGAGAAGGACGAGACCAGGTCAGACCAGACCTCACAGCACCTCTAACCTCCCACCTGCACTGCATTCACCACCTCTTTGGCTAGAACAAGTCACATGGCCAAACCCAGTCTGGATGGGACTGGGAGTTACATCCCACGGACTGTGCAGAGCAACAGGTCCAGGGTGGTGGTGTAGAGCAGTGTGACAGGAAGACAGTGTGGGGACCACCTAGCCAGCTCTGACCCTTTCTATTCTATTCTTCTACCTTTTCTGTGTGCCTGGGATGGAACCCGGCTCCTAGTGCCGTCCAAGAGCTCCACCCTGAGCACCCCCCTTGTCCTGAAGGACCGTGCTAGCCCATTGCATGCATTTCCAAAACCACTCAGGGTTTGGAGAGCACTCCCCAGTCCACGGTCCTCAAACTCCAATGTGCACAGGAGTCGGGGGAGGAGCTCATTGAATGCAGATCCTGGTCCAGCTGGTCTGTAGGCCCCAGGCTCTGCATGCCCGCCCAGGCACGCAGGTCCACAACCATCCTTTGAGTAGTGCAAGAATCCCGAACTCACACGCGGGTGCAGCCGACTGGGTGCCGGTGGCCATGGTGTTCATGTTAGCGATGGCTGGAGCAGCCTCAGTGTCCCTGAGTGGAACTAACAGTCACTGTCCTGCAGCTAACAGCCTTGAACTCGTGGGGGAGGGGATGAGCCCAGAGGCGCCAGGGAATAGGGCAAAGGAGGCAGGGGTGAGAGGAGGGCGACCAGGAAGGTGACGCTCCAGACGCAGATGAGCCTGGGAGAAGCCACTGGTGAGGACCTGTGTGGCTGGCACCGCTCCTGACCCCCTGACCTCCGCTACCCCTCAGGAGCGGCGGCTGCTGGAAGAGCGCCTGGCCGAGTTCTCCTCCCAGGCGGCCGAGGAGGAGGAGAAGGTCAAGAGCCTCAACAAGCTGCGACTCAAATATGAGGCCACAATTGCAGACATGGAGGGTGAGCGTCATGCACGTAGCGGGGGACTGAGGGCCGCGCATGCTCTAAGGGGACCTCAGGCAAGCCTCCTGCGCTGTGCACCCAGCGGTCACATGGGTTAAGTGTGGGAAAGCAGGCCCAGGACAGGAGGGCGTCCCAGTGCCCCCCGTTCCTAAGCATCTCAGATCCTACCCTCGCTCCCTCCCTGGGGGGCTGGCAGCTCCCACACTGTCCACCTGACTGTCCCTGTCTACCTCGCCATGTTGTCCCTCTGCCCCTGGCTGCTCGCTTTCAATCAGAAAGGAAACAGCACAGGGAGGAGGCCGGGCTCCTCGGAGGCGGGAGTGGCAACTCAGAGCTCAGGTCCGGCTGGGGTCTGGAGAAATTGGTCCCTGAGACCCGGGAGCCTGGAAGGAGGAGGTGGCTTCCGGGGAGGCTTGATCCCTGGCCACCTGAGTTTGGAGCTCGGCTGCATGGCCCACCTCTCGCCTGCAGACCGCCTGCGGAAGGAGGAGAAGGGCCGCCAGGAGCTGGAGAAGGTGAAGCGGCGGCTGGATGGCGAGAGCTCCGAGCTGCAGGAGCAGATGGTGGAGCAGCAGCAGCGCGCTGAGGAGCTGCGGGCCCAGCTGGGCCGCAAGGAGGAGGAGCTGCAGGCGGCGCTGGCCAGGTGCGGGCGGGTGGGCGTGGCAGGGCCAGCAGCAGGGGCGCAGTGCGGACCCGGGAGCTCTCCCCGCTGTGGGCAGACCCCAGCCCCTCCCAGCTGCAGCGTCCCTTCTGCCCAGTGCACATAGCAGGGGTGCGAAGCCATCGGGCAAGGAAAAGAGGAAGGACCCTGCAGCGCTGGGCGCACAACGCTCCGCCCCCTCAGCCTCCCCCCAAGCTGCTTAGAATCAGCGTGATTTACTGGGTGTGGCTCGCCTGTAATCCTGGTGGCTATGGAGGCTAAGTGAGGCAGGAGGATTGTGACTTCAAAGCCACCCCAGAAACTGAGCGAGTTTCAAAAAAAAAAAAGTTTGGAGCCTGCTGTATGCCACAGGCGCTCCTGGGGTTCCCAGTGTTTTTCTGCTCTGGGCTTCACGCAGGCTAAGACACCTTCGATTCTGGGTGTGACTCTCATTTCAGAGAGGTTAAAATGTGAAAAATGTGTGTTAGAATCACTACTACACTCTGTGTGTGTGATTGTGTGTGTGTGTGCGCGCGCGCGCGTAAAAACGTGCTCCCTCGAGGCTGAATCCTGGCTCCTCCGCTCTCTGGACCCGTGACCTCACCTGTCTAGCCTTGGTTTCTTCGTCTCTAAAACAGGGACAATTGCAGAAGCTACCCTAGGGTTAGCGGGGGAAAGCACCCACCCCACACCTCCCTGGACACCGGGTGTTTTGGCTCCTACTTGTATTACTCTTGCTTGTTTTGTTTTGTGGTGGAATCCGCACAGCATCCGCCACTCCAAAGCGCACTCTGCAGTGTGGCGCAAGCACCCACGTTTCCATCACCCTGAAAGGAGAGGGGCTCACTCGGCCATCCCTCCACCCTCCGCCTCCTCCCAACCCCACTCCCCACCACTATCCAGGCGGGGCTGGGCCTCGGGCAGTTCCAAAGGTAGAAGCAAGCTCCCAGCATTCCTCTCCCCTCTGTGTCGCAGAGCCTGCAACAGCCCCATCCTCAGGCCTCTTTCAGCACAGGAGCCTGTGCTTCCGAGGTGCCATGCAGGCAGAAACAGGGACGGCAAGCCCGGCCTGAGTGGCACTGAGTGTTGAACCCCCAACAAGTACTGTCCCGATGCAGAGTTCTGCAGGGGTGCTGCCCAGGGCCACCAGGGACCCTCTGGAGGGTCATGGGCCTGGACAGTGCTCTCCCCCTCGAGCCCCAGTTTCGTCCACTGGCGGGAGCATTCCAAGAGACAATAAAGCAGAGGATGTAAGGGGGCTCTGCCAGCCTCACCTGTGATTACCATGGGTGACATTCCCACAGCACAGCGGGATAACTGAGGCCCAAGGACTGAGTCACGTGCCCATGGCAGAGCCGGGGTCTGAACCTAGGACTGGCCACTCCCCAAACCCAGAAATCTGGCCTCTCAGCCCCAGAAACCATCCCTCGCCTCTGTCTGCCCCTGTGCCACCCCCATGGTCCTTGTCACCTCCAGGGCAGAGGAGGAGGGCGGAGCCCGAGCCCAGCTGCTCAAGTCCCTGCGGGAGGCGCAGGCAGGCCTGGCCGAGGCCCAAGAGGACCTGGAGGCTGAGCGTGCAGCCAGGGCCAAGGCCGAGAAGCAGCGCCGCGACCTGGGCGAGGAGCTGGAGGCGCTCCGTGGTGAGCTGGAGGACACGCTGGACTCCACCAACGCGCAGCAGGAGCTCCGGTGAGGGGCTAGGCAGGGTGTGGGAGGAGGATGGAGAGCCAGGTCTTCACCTGCACCAGCTCTGTGCCAGCTTGGGCACAGAGACAGACCCAGTCCAGGGCAACAGGTGCTTTAATGCAGTGACACGGCACGGGGAATAGTAAATGAAGGTCCAAAACCAGGTCTGTGCGAGACGGTCCAGAAAGACCTGCCTGAGGAGGGCCTTTTGAATAGGGCTTTGCATGACAAGTAGGAGTTCACATTCAGAGCCTCATGCCCGTGCAGCATCACCACCCAGATCTCCTGGGTGGTGTGGAGTGAGGCCTGTGCCCTCAGAGGAAGCAAGAACAGGAGCCACAGCCAGCTCCCCCAAAGACCTGCCACCCTCTATCCTGAGAGTCTGTCCCTGTCATCCTTCCCCCAACAAAAGGTCCAAGAGGGAACAGGAGGTGACCGAGCTGAAGAAGGCTCTGGAGGAGGAGACTCGCGTTCACGAGGTGGCGGTGCAGGAGCTGAGGCAGCGCCACGGCCAGGCTCTGGGGGAGCTGGCGGAGCAGCTGGAGCAGGCCCGGAGGGTGGGTTGGGGCTGGGCCGGGAGGGTGTGACCTGGGTTGGAGGAGGGTCACAACAGCCGTGCTGCCCACCTGGAGGGGCTCTGTGTTTGTAGGAGAGGAGAGTCAGCAGGCTCCACTCGTTCACGATCTGTCTCGGGGGAGCAGGGGCCCTGGGAAGGTGAAGGTGACCAGGGAAGGGTCCCAGAGCCAAGGTGCAGGTCTGTGATTTTAAACAGCTGTGGAGGGCTTCTGTGAGGAGGTGGCATCTGAGTAAAACCCAGGGAGGCGCGAGTAAGCCACCTCTGGAGCGGTGTGTTCCAGACAGAGGAAACTGCCGGTGCAAAGGCCCTGGGACAGGCATGTCCTGGCCCGGTGGGGGGGATGCTCAGACACCTTGCCCGTCTCCTGCCCCAACAGGGCAAAGGTGCGTGGGAGAAGACCCGCTTGGCCCTGGAGGCAGAGGTGTCTGAGCTTCGGGCAGAGCTGAGCAGCCTGCAGACTGCCCGTCAGGAGGGTGAGCAGAGGAGACGCCGCTTGGAGTCCCAGCTGCAGGAAGTGCAGGGCCGGGCAGGCGACGGGGAGCGGGCACGAGTGGAGGCTGCTGAGAAGCTGCAGCGAGCCCAGGTGAGTGGGGTGGCCGGGTGGTGGTGGTGTCTGCTGTGTGACCTCAGAGAGATGCCTGCTCTCTCTGGGTTTGTGTTTGGTCCACATCAACCCTGTTGCCACTCCCAGCTCTTCACACATTGGTGGCTGGGAATGGGTGAGCAGTAACTGCATGTCCAACACTTTTAAGAGAGAAAACTGTTCACATCTTACCTACCAGGAAGCTGGGGCCCAGAGAGTACCGTTGACTGCCCTTAGTCGCTCAGAACTGAAGTCCAGTCCCAGGCGTGCCTGACCCTTTGGAGTGTACCCTGCCAGAGCCCCAAGCTCTTCTTCTCTTTTCTGCCTTTGAATAATTCATAGTCTGATTAGAAAAGTCCAGAGGAGGGACACGAAGCAGCGTGAGCGTAGTAGCATTCTGCAGCCCTTCGAAGCAAAGCCCGTTTTTTAAAACTTCATTTTATTCTGTTTCAAACTGAACAGTCTATACCTGTTCATTACTGAGAACACAGACAAGCAAAACGAAGATGACTTGTAGCCCCAGCTCCTCCAGGGAAACCACCAGTACCGTGCAGTTTTAATTCCTGGTTTAAGTGGTGTGATCAGTAGCTGGGTGTGGTGTCCCTCGCCTGTCATCCCGGCAGCTCGGGAGACAGAGGCAGGCGGATTGCAAGTTCGAGGCCGGCCTCTGCAATTTAGGAGGTCCTATCTTGAAATAAAAAGGGCTGGGGATGTGGCTCCGGTGGTTAAGACCCCTGGGTTCACTCCCGGCTTTAAAAATAAAGGTCGTGGGTTGGTTCCCCGAAAACACTGGCCCCATTACATAAACGGGACTTGAGCATCCCGGAGTTGGATGTGAGTGGGGTCTGGAACCAGTCCCTGCCCAGGGGCACTCTCCAGTCCTCAGAGCTGCTCAGCCATCGCCACCATCTACCTCTACACATTGTCATTAGCCCCAGAAGGAACCCTAAGGTACTTGCTGCCACCCGTGGTCCTCACTGCCATCTGTGGTCCTCTGAGTCCTACACATGCAGCTACGACCCTGTCTCTGTGGCTCTTCCAAAGCTGAGCCGCGGGACTCCGTTGCTTTCTTGCTGGCTGACACCGGTGGCCCGGGTGGTCCAGGTGGCCTGGTGGCCCAGATCTCCTGTGCAGCTGTCCCGTTCATTGTCCGAGGGCGTTTGGGTCCAGGCTGCCGGGAGCCTCTCGCCCCGTGGGCACCTCCTGGGAGCGGAATTGCTGCCCCCGCACTTGGTCTTGAACCCTCGGAGCTGCTGTTCCGAGGCGCCCTCGGACGTGTGGGTGAAGTCGCCAGGAGGCTTCACCGCCCTCTTCTCCACAGGCTGAGCTGGAGAACGTGTCGGGAGCCCTGAGCGAGGCCGAGTCCAAAGCCATCCGCCTGAGCAAGGAGCTGAGCAGCACAGAAGCCCAGCTGCACGACACCCAGGTGACGGCCCTTCCGCCCCGCGGCACCCTCCCCACCGCCCTTGTGCCGGCCACGCCTGACTTCCGTCATCTCTCCACCCACAGGAGCTGCTGCAGGAGGAGACCAGGGCGAAGCTGGCCCTGGGGTCCCGCGTGCGGGCCGTGGAGGCCGAGGTGGCCGGGCTGCGGGAGCAGCTGGAGGAGGAGGCCGCAGCCAGGGAGCGCACAGGCCGGGAGCTGCAGACGGCCCAGGCCCAGGTGGGTGACTCCAGCACCCCACAGGGAGGCACAGCGCCCCCCTCTGCCTGGGGTCCCCAGCTAAGGGACAGCCCGCCACCCACCTGCCGACTCCCCCTCACTCGCCCTTGGCCAGCTCTGTGTCCACCAAGCCCCAGCCCCGGTCATCCTGTCCCCTCCAGGCCCTCCTGGCCTCCAGTCTGCCCTTCCAGCTCATTCCCCATGCCCAGGGTCTCTTCCTGCACAGACTGGCCGGCCCTGCTCTGCTCCCAGTACCCCTGGATCAAGCCCCTCAGCTGGGCCCCTGAGGCTGGGACTCTCTTGACTACTCACCAGATTTTCAGCCACTTCAAAGGGGAACTCCAGAGTTAGATCTGGGTCCCCAGCACAGCCCAACAAGCAGTCCAGGCCTCGAGAAATGCCTGTTAAATGATTGAGTGATGACTTACGCTGCCAAATATCCTTCAGTTGTCAAACTCCTACATACACTTCAACACCCATCTCAAGTGCCCCTCTACCAGGAAGTCTCTTCCAAATATTCAAAACGGATCCTGAAATCCTCCTGTGGGATCCTGTGAAGCCTATACCTTCTACCTTAGCCCCCGTCAATCTAACTCAGTTGTCCCCTTCAGACTAGGGGCTCCCCAAGACCCAAAGCCAGATCTGATTCTCCCTGGGTCCTGCCAGAGGTCATTTGGGTACCCTGAAAGAGCTGGGGCTCATAGTACTCAGAACCTCAACCCCATCCTGAGGCAGAGGAGCCCAGTGGAATGACTCCTTTCCTTCCTCACGCCTCAGTCTCCTCATCTGAGAAATGGGGCCTCACAAGGTCCTTGGCTGCTCACAGCCACGACAGCCGCCGACCCTCCCTCCCTCCCTCCCTCTTCTCTCCCCAGCTTGCAGATTGGCGGCGGCGCCAGGAGGAAGAGGCCGGGGCACTGGAGGCAGGGGAGGAGGCTCGGCGCCGGGCAGCCCGAGAGGCAGAGGCCCTGGCCCAGCGCCTGGCAGAAAAGACAGAGTCTGTGGAAAGGCTGGAGCGGGGCCGGCGCCGGCTGCAGCAGGAGCTGGACGATGTCACCGTGGACCTGGAGCAACAGCGGCAGCTCGTGAGCACCCTGGAGAAGAAGCAGCGCAAGTTCGATCAGGTGAGGGCCTCAGTTTACCTGGCTAGGTAATCTGCAAGCTCGTCTGTGCTCCCCTTGGCTCCTGGGAGGGGTCGGGGCTAGGTGACGCACAGCTCCGTGACTGGACTGGAGGCCGGGCGCCTCTTCCCCTGAGCCTCCATAAAGTGGGACACCCTGTCTGTCCTGGTTTCGCCTCCGGTCCCAGCATCATTATTAGCGGTGCTTCCTGACATTCTCAGGGGCGTCCTGGTTTGGGTACTGAAATACAGGAGCACCCTTTCAGTACCCCAGAGGGTGCCATGAGGAGTCAACGGGGGCTGGGGTGTGGCTCAGTGGCAGAGCACTTGCCTGGCATGTGGGAGGCACTGGGTTCGATTCTCAGCATCGACAACTAAAAAAAATATTTTAAAAAAAGATTCAATGGAAGAACACATCTCACTTGTCCTGCAGATTCCCTGAGTGCCTCAAGCAAGTTGCTTTCCCCCTCTCGGCCTCAGTTTACCAACCTAGAAGGTGGGCATCATATTGAGCGTTTGGCAGCCGGAGGGAGAAATAAAAATTACACGGAAAGCTCCAGAGTTCAGGTTGTTAGAGGGTTAGTCAGCTTTCTGTTACTGCAGGGAGAAAAGGGTGCTTTTCATTCATGGTTTTGGGGGTTTCACCCATGGTCAGTTGGCCTAATGAGCCTCCACAGGCTTTCGGGCCTGTGGTGAGGCTGCACATGATGGCAGGGAGCACATGGTGGAGGAAGATGCTCACCTCATGAGCAGGGAAAAGAAAAAAGAAAGGGCTGAGTCCCACTGTTCCCCCAGTGACCTAAGACCTCCCACTAGACCCCGCCTCTTAAAGGTTCCACAACCTCTTCCCAGTAGCACCACAAGCTGGGACCAAGCTTTTGACACATGGGCCTGTGAGGGGCATTTTGGATCCAAACCATGGCATCCGTCTAGAAAATGGGAATGATATTAAGAATTTGACCACCTGCCAGTGCACATCTGTAATCCTAGCAACTTGGGAAACTGAGGCAGGAGGATTGTGAGTTTGAAAACAGCCTAGGCACCTTAGTGAGACCTTGTCTCAAAATAAAAAATAAAAAGGTCTGGGGACATGCCTCAGTGGTAGAGCACTCCCAGATTCAAACCCCAGTATCCAAAAATAAATAAATAAATAAAATAATTCTGGCTACTGGAGCATGAAATAAAAATCACAGACTGCCATAGGTTTAAGATCAGGCGATCCTGAGATTCAAACCCAGCTTAGCCAGGCACATGCCTGTAATCTCAGTGGCTTGGGAGGCTGAGGCAGGAGGATCTCAAGTTCAAAGCCAGCCTCAGCAACTAAGCAAGGCCCTAAGCAACTTAGCAAGACCCTGTCCCAAAAGATGAAAAGGGCTGGGGATGTGGCTCAGTGGGTTCAGTCCTTGGTGCCCAGAACAAACAAAGAGAAAACCCAGCTTAGCCCTTTCTTGCTGTGTAGCTTTGGGCAAATGCCCAACCTCTCTGTTAGTCTAGAAAATGCAGAGTGGTCGTGTCATTATGTCCCTCATATCCGAAAGATCTTTTCCCTGGGTATAGAATCCTAAGTGAGCACTTTTATTCTCTCAGCACTTTGAAGATGCCCTTCTGTCTGTCACCTCTGCCCTCCATTGTTTCAGGTGAGAAGTTAGCTGTCATTCAAATCATCATTTCCCTGCAGTGAAGGTGATGTTTTCCTAGCTAATTTAGAAGTTGTCTCTTGATCTTTGGTTCTCACAGTCTTGGCTGTATTTGTCCTGCTTCAGCCTTGCTGAGCTTCCTGTAGCTAAGGGCTTTCTGTTGTTGTTACATGGATGTTTTCTGCCATTATTTCTTCACATATTTTTCTGGTCCACTCTTCTTCTTCTTGGACACCACATATGTGTGGTTTTGATTGCTTAGCACTGTTCCAAAGGTTATCCAGGCTCTGATAAATTTTTTTTGCAACTTCTAGAATTTTCTATAAATTCTTTTCATTTAATTATTTTTGGATTGGCATCTTTGACTCATAATAGTCATTTAAAGTTTATCCATATGTTTGCATGTATCAATAATTTATTCCTTTTTATCGCCGAGTATTATTCCTGTATAGGTAAACCACATTTGTGTTTCTGTTAACCTAGTGATGAACAATGTTTGGATTGTTTCCAAGTTGGGGCTATTCAGAAGGAACCTTAGTCTTTCTAATAGATGTGTAGTGGCTTTAATTCACATTTCCCTAACAGCCGATGATGTTAGGTATCTTTTCCTGACTTTTGTGACATCCATGTATCTTCTTTGCTGAAGTGTCTGTTCCTTCATCCTTTGTCTTTTGATTGGGTTGTGGTTTTCTTATTATTTAATTTTGAGAGTTTTGTATATATTCTGAGTACAAGTTCTTTGTCAGATGTATGCTTTGTAAATATTTTGGGCCAGTCTGCAGCTTGTCTTTTGATTCTCCTGAAAGAGTCTCTTTGAGAGCAGAAGTTTTTCATTTTGATGAAATCCTACTTATCAATGGTTTTGGTATTGCATGTATGAGATCTTTGCCTAACTTGAGGTTGGAAAGGTTTTCTCCTCATTTCTAGAAGTTCTCCAGGCTTAGGTTTACATTGAACTCTGATCCACTGTGAGTTAATTTTTATATGGCAGTATTGTGGCTCCAAATGATTTTTTCCCAAATTAATTTTTCTGAATATAGATATCCAAGTGTTTGCTGGGTGTAGTGGTGCTCACTTGTAATTCCAGCAGATTGGGACACCGAGGCAGGTTTGAGATCAACCTCAGCAACTTAAGCCTGTCTGAAAATAAAACTTAAAAATAAAATAAACTGGAGCTGGGTGCAGCAGCGCATGCCTATAATCCCGGTGGCTTGGGAGGCTGTGGCAGAAGGATCGCGAGTTCAAAGAAGGCAACTTAGCGAGATCCTGTCTCTAAATAAAATATTTAAAAAGGGGGGTGGGGTCTTGAGATGTGGCTCAGTGGTTAAGCACCTCTGGGTTCAATCCCTGGTAGCACACAGACACATTCACAGACACAAAGATTCCCAAGTCCCAAGTGTTCCAACACAATTTTTTTCTCTACTTAGTTTGTGTACATATTAAATTCTTTTTTCTTTTTTCTTCATTTCCATGTGTGTTTTAGAATTAATATTTCAGTTTCCAAAACAACAACAACAACAAAAGCACCTCCTGGTTTGGGACTATTGAATCTATAGGTCAATTTGTGGAGGATGCACCACTTCTTCTTTTTTTAAAATATTTATTTCTTTTACTTGTACACAATGCCTTTGTTTTTATTTATTTATTTTTTTATGTGATGCTGAGGATCGAACCTCACACGTGCTAGGTGAGCGCTCTACTGCTGAGCCACAACCCCAACCGGAGGATGCACTTCTTAATCCTATTAAATTTTGGGTCCAAATAACTGGGTATCTATGATCATTCATTTAGCTTTTCTTAATCTTGGAAATGTTTTGTGGTTTTTAACTGTATATCTTTCCCATCTTTTGTCAGATTTATTTCTAAGTTTTTCATAGTTTTGATGCTATCTTAAATGGAGTTATTTTGTTTACTTCTGATTGCTACTGTGCAATTGTGCAATTGATTTTTGCATATTTGTGTAATATTCTGCAACGTAGCTAATGCACTTATTATTGCTAGTAGGTTTGTACATAGATTTCACTAGATTTTTATCATGTTTTCTCTGAATAAAGACAGGTACCTTTTCCTTGACCCTCCTTCTGTGACTCCAAATACATGCATGTTTGATTGTTGGATGCTCTCTTAAAGGTTATTAAAGCTCTGTTAATTTTTGCAACTTTTTTTCTTTTTAAAATCTATTTGGGTAACTTCTATTGGCCTGTCGTCTTTTGCTGAATCTTCTGATGTGTCCAGTATGCTCTTATTTTCATGTAGTGACTTGTTTTATTTCATACATTATATCTTCAGGTCTGTCATTTCAATGGGGTTCTATCTCACAGTTTCAAATCCCTCCTGAAATAGCCTTTCTATTCCTCCATTAAGTCCATCTTGTTCTAAAATTTACTTATCATAGCGAAAATCCTTGAGTGATAATTCCAATAGGAAATTCATCTGCAAGTCTGTTTGTATGGACTGATTTTTTTTGTCTTAACTGTGCATCCTGTTCTCTTCCTTCTTTGAATACCTTGAAGTTTCATTGTTTGCCAATTACTGTAACTTTTAGAAAACCGAAAAGGTCATAAAAACACATATATTTTTCCTACACCACCCCAAAGAAAGAAACACTATTTCCTAAAGATTGGTTTGGTCCATTTGAGGGTCGAGCTGGTTTGGGGCATGGTTGCAATCCTGCTACCTCCCTCTTGTCTGTCAGTCTTTCTGTCTCTCCTCCCTAACCCTGGACACTGCTTTCGGCTAATCTGTTTCCCCCACTCCCTTTCCCTTGTCCTGGAAGCTCCTGGCTGAGGAGAAGGCAGCGGTGCTGCGGGCCGTGGAGGAGCGTGAGCGCGTTGAGGCCGAGGGCCGGGAGCGCGAGGCTCGGGCCCTGTCTCTGACCCGGGCGCTGGAAGAGGAGCAGGAGGCACGCGAGGAGCTGGAGCGCCAGAACCGGGCGCTGCGGGCGGAGCTGGAGGCTCTACTGAGCAGCAAGGACGACGTCGGCAAGAGCGTGAGCAGGGCCAGCACCCCCGAGAGGCGCGGGCGCCTGTAGGAGGGGAAACACGCATGCGCACACACATATGCCCATGCACACACGGGAAAAGAACCCGCTGCTTTTTTGCACAAGCAGCAAGGGGAGTGCAGCTCACCAAGCACAGGCATCCATGCACATGTGCAGGGAGGGTGAAGGGGAGCTTTCCACCAGACACACGTATTTACACCTAGAACACGAGAGCCACTCACCAAGCACACATTCTGACTTTAGCGGACATGGAATGTGCAGAGAATCTCCATGAAATACACATTCAGGCATGTGCTCAGAGTGGGGAAAACTACTCAATACAGAGGTGTGAACAGAGAGAACTTACCTAGCACACAGCCTAAGAACCACCGGACATTCCTGCACACACCACGCACATGCATGCGCACACACGTGCAACGTGGCAACTTCCACTTTGCCTCCTCCCACCCCAGCACATGCAGGCTCCCCCACCAGGCTTCCCTCTTCCCTCCATAGAAGGGAGGGACCCGAGGCAGCGAGCAGATGTGCCCCTCCCAGTTCATGCTACCAATTCAATGCTACCAAGCACCTGAGTCTCAGGTGTGCAGAATCATCCTAGAAAGTGTTTTATGAATAACCTGTGCATGAAAATTCTGTTGTCTGATGCTACATCCATCATGGCCTGTAGGGGGTGCTGCAGGTCTGTCCTAGGCCCTTGTCACACCACTTCTGTCTCAGTCCCCTGAAAGCTCAAGGTGGCCTGAGGAACGCTCCGCTCCATCCATCCAATAAGGACTCTTGCAGAGCGGCACAGGCCCCAGGACACAGTCCACCCTCGCTGGTGATGGGGGGCACTGTCAGAATCTGTGTTTAGTTGAGTCTCTGGGCGCACACCCTCCAGACACCCTTATTTCCTTCATACCCAACCGTGTGCTCTTGGGGGTGCCCAGATAGGACTTTTGTCTTCCTCACAGACTGGCTGGTCTGCTGGGGCTTTTAGCCAGGACTGAGGAGAGCCCTGCCCCCAGACAAGCACCTGGCCTGCAGCCCCAGAATACCAGAGCTGAGTCCCTGCTGGTTTTAGAGCCATGAAGGTCTGTCCTTTAGGAAAACTGCCCCAAAATTATTTATAGTGATCCAAAGGCTTTTGCAGAAAATAGGATGTTGAGGGGAGAAAGTTTGATCCTTTTTGAGTAGACAAAATTAATTGACAGGTGCCAAATCAGAGAAGGCTCAGTGGGCCCCTTCCAAGGGCTGAAAGTAGCTACTACCACTGACCAGAATCTTAATGAGGACCACTTGGCCAGCAGTGATCCACAGAAACAGTCCCTGCCTGTGGGCTCAGAGTCGGGCACATAAGTGAATGTTAAAGCACAATCTTGACAAGGGCTAAACTGGAGAAGGACTCAGTGCCAGGAGCATGGGTCACAGGGAAGACCTGTAGATCAAGGGTGGCTTCTCTAGAAGGTGACAGTGAAGGTGAAGCTCCAGGGGTGGGTGCCTCAGGATTCATCCACTACTTGGGGTTTTAACTTGCACCTCTCTGAACGATGAGAACACCCAAGTGCAGACAAGAATAGAGGTAGATGTGAATCTGTGGTACCCAGGGAGCCTGATGGCTCTGGAGCTTCTTGACTGCAACCTGTTTTCACATAGCATTCTTGAAGATGAAGCCCCCGTGAAGTGAGCCCAAATCCCAAATTAGAAAACTGTAGGAAATAACCCGGCATAAGGGGGTCAGCTGACCTAACAAACATTTGAACTGGACTCTCAAGGCTTCATATGATAGAATACAGGTTGAATAACACCTATCTGAAATACTTGGGACAGAGTGCTTCAGAATTTGGTGTGTTTTGGATTTTGGAATATTTCCTTTTATGCAATAAATTACTTTGGGGTGGAGACCAGGTTGAAGCACAAAAGTCATTTATGCTTCATATACACCTTATACATTAGCCTAAGGTGAATTTTTACAATATTTTTAGTGCACCTTCTGTTGACTGCAGGATGTCAAATGAAGTCAGGTGTGGAATTTTCCATCTGTGATGTTAGCACTATTAAATTTTAGGTTTTTCGATCCCTAACACTAATAAAAAAATAATTTTGGAGTTTGGATTTCCAGATTAGGAATGTTCAACCTGTATCAGGCACAGGCTATTCATAAAACGTGTTAAGATAATTTAGAATGAGACGGTAAAGGATGAATGGGTGGGTGAAGAACCAGAGGGGCACAGCTGCCTGCTGCCTCCTCGTCCTCCTTCAGCTTCCCCAACTCTGCCCAGGATCCCCACCTCCCCCACCCTCAGTGCCCTGGTACCCCGTGCTCACTCGCCCTCCCCCCAGGTGCATGAGCTGGAACGCGCCCGCAGGGTGGCAGAACAGGCCGCCAGTGACCTACGCACACAAGTCACAGAGCTGGAGGACGAGCTGACGGCGGCCGAGGATGCCAAGCTGCGCCTGGAGGTGACTGTTCAGGCTCTCAAGACACAACACGAGCGGGACCTGCAGGGCCGGGACGAGGCTGGCGAGGAGAGGCGGAGGCAGCTGGCCAAGCAGGTACGGGGGCAGGGGCTGAGGGCATCAGAACAGCTGGGTGCACCCTGTTGCACACAGGCACCAAGGGGGTCCCATCCGCCCGTCTGCCAGTCAGCGTGTCCACCAGCATCCCTCTTGCTGGCCAACCATCTTTTTGTCCCCAAACCACCTTCCTATCCCCCAGCCCATTGAACCCCTGTGTTTATCTATGGACGGACCCAATCATGCACCAAGCTATCACCCATCCACCGCCCTCATCTACACTACCACCTCCACCACCCACCAGCAGACAACTACCCAGCCATCCTGGCATCCAGCTATTCCTCCATCCACCCAGCTGCCCCTTCCAGCTGTGGACCTCAGTAACACCCAGGGAAAAATCATATAAAGAACCAAGTTCACCATTAGGGATAACAGCATTGCAGTGGGAATACACGGGCCCTAGAACTGTGAGCTTCTCCAAGGAGGTGGGGGCAAGGGGAGACCCGAAAAGGGAGATGCGTGCACAGGCTGCTTAGATTCAGGGTGCACTGATCTTGGAGACTGAGGCAGGTGTTGGCATCAGGCATGGGTGGAGGTGCCCTGGCTGGGCAGCTGTCTGTCTGGAGCATGTATGAATTGCTACCATGGAAAAGAACATAAAGATAAGCTTTATTACAGAAATTCCGTACATATGTGCAAGGCTTGTGCTGCAAAGCATGGGGACACGTGGACCAGAAAGGAATTTCTTGAGAGAGTTTTAGGAAATCTGTGAGAAAGTGATTATCTCAGGCAGGCCTGAGCCCTCCCCTTTCATTATTTCCTGGCTCCAGTGTTGTCTGGATCTGACTGGAGTGAGTTCAGGCGGGTATCAGCACCTTTCCCTAGCCTCTCACTCCACCGGACCCCCAGACCCCAGTTTCGTTCACCCGGGATTTCCCCTGCTCTGCCCTCTGTGGCCATGAGTACTGGGCATGGAAGGGGCAGTGGCAGCCCTAAGTGTCAGAAAGATCCCTCTAGGACCAGGTGGGCAGCAGACTTGGGGTGGGGGTGCTAGCAGGTGGAAGGGGAGGGAACTGTAGCAGGTAACCAAAGGCAAGGGCTCTGTGGGTATCAGTTCCCTATAAGACCCTTTGCCCCATGGAGATGCAGGTCCAAGACTTCTCCCTGGCGGCCCTGGGAAGCACGGGAGGATTGTGAGCAGGATTAGCCCAGTGTGTACAAAGAACCTTCTGGAACTGTGGGAATGGGCTGGAGGGGAGAGATGGGAAACCAGGAAAGAGGCTCTTGTGTAAAGGGAGGACTAGGCCAGAGCCAGGACCATGGGGAAGAAGAGGGAGAGGAGAGGAGAGGGAGGGGAGAGGCGAGGCAGGAGGATCTGGGCTTGAGGTGGATGGTCCTGCCCCGCCTCGGGGGAGCCTGGGCGTCCTGTCCTCTGACCACCCTGCCGCCCGCTCCCGCAGCTGAGGGATGCGGAGGTGGAGCGCGATGAGGAGCGCAAGCAGCGGGCTCTGGCGGTGGCCGCCCGCAAGAAACTGGAGGCCGAGCTGGAGGAGCTGAAGGCGCAGACGACGGCCGCGGGGCAAGGCAAGGAGGAGGCGGTGAAGCAGCTCCGCAAGATGCAGGTGAGCGCGCTCCGGCTGCGCAGGCGCACAGAGCAGCCCGCCGCCAGGGAGCTCGCGGGCCGCTTCTGTGCTTTCCATGTTCTGTTTTCTTTTACGCACACACACGCACACACGCGCACACACACACACATATTTTATATATATATATATATGTTGTAAATGGACACAATACCTTTATTTTTTAATATTTATTGTTTAGTTGTAGTTGGACACAGTACCTTTATTTTATTTATTTATTTTTATGTAGTGCTGAGAATCGAACCCAGGGCCTGGCATGTGCAAGGCGAGCCCTCTACCACTGAGCCACAATCCCAGCTCCCCCAGCCCCTATTTTGTTTTATTTTTATGTGGTGCCGGATCGAACCTAGTGCCTCCCGCGTGCACCCCAAGCGCGCTCTACCACTGAGCCACAACCCGGCCCAGCTTTGCATGTTCTTTAACTCCAGTTTCATCACTTTATTTTTCGATATGGAAATAGCCTGCAGGTTTTAAAAATCTACCTATGAATTATACTTGGTTTTTGTTCAACAAAAAAGTATAGATCTGCCCCCTAGCCCCAGGTAGCTATTAGACATCTGACACGTGGGGTCTGAAACATGAGTTACATACTGGATTTTAAAAACAGTACCCAAAAAAAGTGACAGTACCCCCAAAATATGATTTTACCATTATGATTTTTATGTTGATTATAAGGGGAATATAATATATATTTGCTATATTATGTATGATCACATATTAGGATATTAATAAAATATAGCATCTAAATTAATTTCACCTACTTCTTTTTGCCTTTTGAATGTAGCCACTAGAAAATTTAAAACCACATGTGTTCTTCAGGTTGCATTTCTATGGGGAAGAGCTGGTGTAAAAACTGCCCCTCATGTCATCACTGAGGAAAACCCCTTCATTTAAAATTACATCAAAAATCGTATTAAGAGCAGTAATAATGGGGCTGGGCTAAGGCTCAGTGGCAGCGCACTTGCCTGGCACGTGTGAAGCACTGGGTTCGATTCTCAGTGCCACATGTAAATAAATAAAATAAAGGTCTATTAACAATTAAAAAAAATAGAACAGTAATAATTGTCTGTCACCACCTGATATCATTATTAACAGCTGTGCCAGGACCCACTGTAAAGGTGTAGTGTGTCTTTTATTTTTTTAATGGTGGTGGACATTTGGGTGGTTTTAAATTTTTCTTTATTTGAAGCACTGAGCAGAAATCCTTTGTGTTTGCCTGTTAACACATTCCCAGAAGTGCCCAGGGAGCAGCCTGGCTTAACATGAAAACCTGAGAGGGCTGGGTCGGAATGCTGGCTCTGCCACCGACTGCCCTGCATGTTAACTCTGTGCCTGGGTTTCTCTCTCTGTGGACTGGGGTCGTGGCACTGAGTTGTCAGCATGTGTAGGTGCAGGGCCTGGCCCCAGGTAAGCAGTCAGTGTTGCCATCCCCATTGTCCAGCCGTCACACTCGTTTTAAACTTTAATTTTAAGACGTGTTTTAAGAGGAAGCATCTGAGGCCCAGAGAGTGGGCAGAGATGGCCCAAGGTCACACAGCAAGCGACTTGTGGGCAGAAGCCCAGGTCCTTAGGACTCTGAGATCGATGGGAACCAAGCCCCCTCTGCCAGGCTGGTACGAGGGTTGGGGCTTCCTGGGAGGCACAGCCAGGCTGAGCCTGCCACCCACTCCGTTGTGCCCAGGCCCAGATGAAGGAGCTGTGGCGGGAGGTGGAGGAGTCACGCAGCTCCCGGGAGGAGATCTTTGTCCAGAACCGGGAGAGTGAGAAGCGCCTCAAGGGGCTGGAAGCGGAGGTGCTGCGGCTGCAGGAGGTGAGGCTGGGAGGTCGGCAGGGGTGACCACTGGCCCTGGGAGGTGAGGCGGGGGAGGTGGGCGGGCCTGATAACTGACTGCCAGAGGCAGGATTTTGTCCTGGGGGCTCTAGGGAACCGAGGGAAAATTCTGAGTACGGGGATGTCCGGGTGAAACTGGAGGCAGGGAGGTTGGAGAGAGAAGACGAAGCCTGAGTCAGTTCCAGGGGACACAGAAGAGGGACAACGTAGTCAGGGGCAGGAGGGAGGGGGCAAAGAGTACTGCGGGTCTGGCCGGGTGCCTACTTGGCACCTGGAAGAGACAGCGAGCTTAGCAGCAGAGGGCTAGGGCATCCAGAGGTGGGCACGGGTCAGTGCAGGAGACGGACCTAAGAGGAACCTGCCTGTACACTGACGTTCACTCCTGAGTTGCTTGGGAACAGTGTCTTCCTGATCGGTGGAAGAAAGACCAAGAGACTTGAGGTGTGAGGACCAGGAGCGGGTGAGATCAGTGTCCAGATAATTCCCCTCACCCCACTGACCTCCGCCCCTGTCATCACAGGAACTGGCCGCATTGGACCGCGCCAGGCGGCAGGCCCAGCAGGATCGGGATGAGATGGCAGACGAAGTAGCCAACGGCAACCTTAGCAAGTGCGTGGCCCCGGGGAACATGGGACGAGACGTCCTCCTCTGGCCACCCTGCCCTCTCACACCTACCCCTTCCCGTTCTCTCTAGGGCAGCCATTCTGGAGGAGAAGCGCCAGCTGGAGGGGCGCCTGGGGCAGATGGAAGAGGAGCTGGAGGAGGAGCAGAGCAACGCAGAGCTGCTCAATGACCGGTACCGCAAGCTCCTCCTGCAGGTGCGTGTGCTCCGCCATCCACTGCTAGTCTGGGTGTACACTCGCCTGGGATCCTGATCTTCAGTCCTCCTACCCAGCAGACATGGAAAGGGGAGTATTTGAGTTGGGTTTTGAAGGTTGAGTAGGAGTTTGTACTGGCGGGGAGGCTCGGTGCATTCATTCACTTGTATTACTGCAGTATCTCAAGGTCTGGGTACAAATACGAATTAGATGAGGCCTATGGAGTTTCTGGAGGTAACACACTGTCACTTTATAGGGTGACAAGCATGATAATAGGAGTATTCTGGTCAGCCAGGGGTGGGAGGAAAGAGAAAGAGAGTTGACTCTCTCCGCAGGAGTCACAAGAAGGCCTTTGGCAGGAGAGATGTTTGTCTGGAGTTTTAAAGCGTTAGTAGGTGGTCAGCAGAGAGGAAAAGCACGTGTTTTTAATTCATAAATATTTTCTGAGGCTTCTGGAAGCCCAGGTCCTATTCTGGCTGGTGCTGGGACCAGCAGATGGATCAGTCTAGGTCCCTGCCCTTGAACACGTCCTGGCGTGGTGGAGAAGACAGACGAGCCCATGCAGGAGACCCCTAGGATGCCTTCTGGGAAGCGGGGAGGTCTTGGGAGGACAACAGAGCGATGAGATTTCCACAGTGACCTGTGTCTACTTACGTCATTCATGTTTAAAACCACATCTTGAGTTGTCTCATGCACCATGTCCCTGCACAGCTGGGGGCACAGGAAGGAGTCAGACCCAGCCCTTGTGGGGCTCCCAGGGTGGGGGTGGCAGGCGTGTTCCAGGATGTGGCTGCTCCCATCACTCAATAAAATTGCAATCACTTCCGAGGCCTGCAGGTTCTGAGACCCACTTGCCCCAGTGAGGGAGGCATGCTGGGGGTGAGCCCCACCATCTGAGAAAAAGAGAGAGAGATTTATGCAGCTTGCAGTTGTGGAGGTTCTAGTCTGTGAACAGGCAGAGCTGTGGCTCCTCGGCCTCTGTCAGGGATTCCAGATGGCAATGGTGGGGAGCATGTGGCAGAGCAGGACCCTCTCCATGGAGTTCCCCTAGAGGGTGTGCCCCCAATGGCCTGAACACCTCCCTCTAGGCTCTGCCTCTCAAAGGTTCCACCCACTCCTAGCAGCACTAACCTGGGGACCATGCTAGGGGTCCTGAGCCTTCTGGGGACATTTAAGAGTCAAACTATAGCAGTGTTTTAACGAACCTTCCAAGTAGCTCCAATGTCAGCCAGATTGAAGCCACTGCCCAAGAGAACAAGGTGCGAATTGCCACTGGACAGACATCAGCAGAAGAGTAATAATGTGCCATTTCCTCCTAGTCCTAGAAGGGTTGGAGTGAGTAAAGTGAGTAAAGTGATGGCCACATGCTCGGCAGTTATGTGGAGTATGACTTTAAAATAAGGGGAAACGTGCAAGAACTCTTTTAAAACCAAATTTCATTCATTATATTGGTGGTGATATTATAAGCATTGTTTTTCTGGGATCACTGTGCATGTCACATGGGATAACGTAAATGACAGTATGGGATGTGCTGATTCCGGCACCCACCATGCCCTGGACATGAGGATGCTAATGTGGAAGAATCTAGCAGGCATAAGGAAGGGGTTAAAGTCAACACAACAGGCCAGTGACCCTGATTTGGATGCAGTCATATCCACAGGGGCTGACAGTGTAATTTATGTGATCCATTTTCTCAGGGTCCACCCCCACGGGTTGGAAGCAACCTTCAACCCAGTAGCAGTGGGCATCCCCATGCCCAGGTTGTGGTCTGGAAAACCATTTCCCACAAGAGACAGAGAATTCTTCAAAATAGGAATTCTTCAAAAATGGCTGATTCCATATTTGGAGCAAGAAAGGAGCAAGAGTTGAGGTGGGAGTGTAGCTCAGTGGTAAGGCACTTGCCTTACATGTATGAAGCCCCGGGTTCCATACCCAGCACAACGAAAAGGAAAGAAGGAAAGGAGGTGAACAAGGATAGCCTAAACCCCTGCCCGTCCCCTCTGGGATAAAGACGGTGCAGCGATGTCAAAAGGAGTTGGAAGTTGACGTGCAGCGCCTTCCCCTGGCCCAAGATGGGGCAGTGTGAGCTTCAGAAGGATAATAATGGCAGTTGATTTGAACCCATCAAATATGTAACTGTGTTTAAGTCTAGCTCACAGTGATTTTTTTTTTTTTTTGAATACTGGGGGTTGAACCCAGGGGCACTTAACCACCGAGTCACATCCCCAGATATTTTAATTTTTTATTTTGGTACAGGGTCTCACTAAGTTGCTCAGGGCCTCACTAGCCTTAAACTTGTGATCCTCCTGCCTCAGTGTCCTGAGTTTCTGATATTACAGGTGTACGCCACTGTGCCTTCATAGTGACATTTTAAAAAAAAATACTAGTCACCACACTGGTGTCCTAGAACTGCTGTTAGCAAATTATCTCAAACCTGGTGGCTTAAAACAAGAATTTATTCTTATACTTCTGGAGGCCAGAAGTCCAAAATCATCAAGGTGTCATCTGGCTTGGTTGGTCCTGTCTCTCCCTGCTTCAGTGACTGCCAGTCACCCTTGGTGTCCCTGGGCCTGCAGGGCACCACTCCAGCCTTCGCCTCTGTCCTCCCGTGGCTTCTGCCCTGTGTCCTCTCTGCCTGCCTGGGCCTCCTCCCTTCTTACAAGGACACCAGGCCTGTGGGATCTAGGGCCAGCCCTACCCCAATATGACCTCATCTGAATTAACTAATTACATCTGCAAAGGCCCTATTTCCAAATGAGGTCACATTCGAAGTTCTGAGTCGACGTGGCTTTGGCAGGGGCAGATTATCCAACCCTGTAAAGACACCCTTGGCAGATGACAGAGAGCCAGCTCATCACCTTGAAAACTCACAAATAGAATTGAGTTCCTGGACCGACTGCCGTTTGCAGGAAGCAGAGAGGACAGAGAACCATGCTGAGCGTGCGTGTGTGAGCAGAGGGGTGCAGACAGGGTGCAGCTCTACACGTGCAAAGGGGGCAAGGAAGAGACAGCCCTGAGAGTCGGGATGATGAGCTATTTGGCAGGCAAGGTTGTTAATACTAACATCCTAACACCTTTACCTGGAATGGTAAGGTTTTGTTTCTTCACTGGGAGAGTGTTGACAATATATCACACTTTTATTTTGCAATAAAAAAATTGAAGAAATAGAGGAAACTATGCCAATCCCTGGGTGGATGTGTTCAGGTGAGTGGGAGATGAAATGAGCACGAATCAGCCGGCCTGACCTGCTTCCCTTGCCCAGCACGAGGCCTGGCTCAGAGCACCTGCTGAATACATCAGCAGGACTACAGGAGTGTGTTGACACAGCCACGATGGAGTAGCTGCTCTTTTCCGAGGACACGGTCCTCACGTCCTGCGGGTCTCTCCTGTCAGACCTGCTGGGTTGCTCATTACAAATCCAGACCCACTGAGGCAAAATCTCTGGAAGGTGGCACCCTGGAACTTGCATGTTCCTCACAAACTTCCCCAGATGATCCTGCTGCAAACAAAAGTGATAAACCCCTGGAACAGACTCAGTCACAGTCAGAGGTAGAATTCATAGCATTTCAACAAGTTTGTGGTGGTCTCATGGACTTATTAAAACAGCAAAAAAACTACCCAAAAGGTTAAAACCCAGGGTTGGCAGTGCTGTTGGGTGATACAGCAATGGCTAAAAGTACAAGTTAGCGTTTGTGAGTATTTAGAATGTGTGCAGGCTCTGTAATATAAAACTCATCAGTCCTCTTAATTCTTGATTGGTCACCTGTTTGCTTCTGAGGCTCCATCACCATGTCCTGCCCTTACCCACCTCTGCAGGTGGAAACTCTGACCACAGAGCTGTCTGCAGAGCGCAGTTTCTCAGCCAAGGCTGAGAGTGGGCGGCAACAGCTAGAGCGGCAGATCCAGGAGCTACGAGGACGCCTGGGTGAGGAAGATGCTGGGGCCCGGGCCCGCCAGAAGATGGTGATTGCAGCCCTTGAGTCTAAGTTAGCCCAGGCAGAAGAGCAACTGGAGCAGGAAAGCAGGTAGGTGGGAGAGGATGCTTTGGGCTGCAAGTAACTGCTTCCTACGGAGAGTACAATTTATACAAGAATGTAGCAGTTAGCTATAAATGCATAACAAACCACCCTAAAAACTTAGTGTTTGTGAGTTTGGGGGCTGGCTGGTTCTCTTGAGCTTGACTGAGTGAGCCTCACTTTTGCAGCTTTGCTCAGCTAAGGGTCAAGTAGATGGTTTTTGCTGGTCTTGACTGGGTTCAGTTAATAATAAGCACTTGCCTCTCTGCTCCATATGGCCTCTAATCCTTCAGCAGGCTTGCCCAGGGTGAGTCAAGGTCCCAAGAGTAAAGGAAAGTGTTTTAAGTTTTCTGAAGGCCTACATTTGGAGGCTGTGCTGCATCACTTCTACCATAGTCTATTAACCAAAGCAAGTCATGGGCCAGCTCAAGTTCAAGGGCATGAGAAAACAGATCACCACTTGACAAATGCAGCTCTGGTCATTATTGCCAAGGGTGTGGGTACAGGAAGGGGTAAGAATTAGGGTCATTGTTTCTATAAGTCTACCACAAAAGAAATTTCTTTTTCTCACATGATAAGAGTTGGAGTCAGTCAAAAGAGGGAGAGCTCTGGGTGAGCATCTGAGTAGTCCTTCCCTCATGATCACAAAATTGCTGTGCTTTCACCAAGCACATATCTACATATCCACATTCAGAGTAAGGAAACAGATGCAATATATGGCTGAAAGATTTTCCGTCTTCAGGTTTTGGAATAATTAAGAACAGTCCCGGGCTGGGTTGTGGCTCAGTGGTGAGTGCTCACTTAGCATGCATGAGGCACTAGGTTCGAGCCTCAGCACCACATAAAAATAAAAATATTGTGTCTACCTAAAACTAAAAAACAAATATTTAAAAACAAAAGAGCAGTCCCATGACATTCCCAGGTGAAAACTCTATGCTAATAGGACAACAAAACATTTATTACTAAACTTAATACAAATAGATCTTCCTACTGCTCGATACTATTTGACAACAACAATACTAATAGTTCTCATTTACTGAGGACTCACTATATAGTAGGTATGTGACTACCTGTATGGACATGTGTGACATCATGTAACCCTTGTGAGAAGACCATTATTATCCCTATTTTAATATAAGAAGACTGAAACAGAAATAAGCTATAAATCTAGGATGTCTGACTTACAACTCAGCATCTACCATTGTCTAGAGGGGTGAGTGCTGTCACATAGGAAAAAGTATAGTAGGTTCCCTTTTCATTCACTCACTCTCTTGTTCACTCATTGGTTCAGTCAGGAAGCTGTAGTAACAGTATACTGCATACCCTCCCATGCGTATGGCACTGAGGAAATGGTGAAGCTAAACATCTCCCCACAAAGACATGGTTGGCTGGGATTCCCCACTTGAGATAGGCTCAGGTCTGGGAGTAGGTGTGAGAGGGAAAGGTATGGAGGGCACCAGGGCACGTGGAAGAGGATCATTGGTTTTGGGAATCTGAGATGCAAGAAAGGGATCAAGGAGATGAAATGGAGACAAGGCTTGAACTGCACAGAGCCTTGAATGTCAGGCCAGGGAGCTCTCTTCTGGAGCACAGGGAAGTCATGAGGGTGCCATTAGCCAGAGGAGGAGCAGGACCAGCTCACATATAGAGCTGAGAAGGACTAGAATAGAGAGGCTGGAGCTGGGAGGCCTAGAAGGAGGTTGAATGAGGAGCCAAGAGCCCAGGTAGAAGATGAGGCCTGAGCTGGGACTGGAGTCATGAGGATGCACAGAGGGGGACAAAGAAGAGATTGTGGGGGGAAGATGGGGGGAGCTGAGGACTGGTGGGCTGCAAGGTGGAGGGGAAGAGCAGATAATTGGGGGTTAAGCCTGGTGACTGGGGAGTACTGGGAGCTGGAAGGAAGCTGCTGGATTCACTGTGAGAGGCCTCACAGATAAGAGGAAGGACTCAGCCCTGGAAGCTCACCAGAGGAGGTCCACAGGCTTGCCAGGCACCCAGGGACTCATGGGAATTGTAGTTTAAGGCCCATAGGGAGGCCTTCCAGGGGCTCATGGGTACAGGGACCCAAGCCCCTGTGCTCTCTGCTCCATTATAAAGATGAGGACGCAGATTGAGAGGAGGTGAACCACCAGCTCAAAGTCACCCTGGGAGCTACAAGTGGTCAGACGATTTGTAGTTGAAGGGGTCTCTTCCCTTGCCCCACTTTCCACTTCTCAGTGCCATTCCACTCCCCCCGTCAGCTCTGTGCCTGATTCTCAGCCAGGGATGAAAAGGTCCAGTTGTAGCTGTTGAGCACTGCCCATCACTAGGGGCCCATCACGTGGACTTTACCCGGGGTGTAACAGGCCCTGCAGGAGACAGCAGGCAAGCAGGGAATGTAGGTGGGGGAAGTTCAGGAGATGGGAGGAAAAGGATGTGAGGGGAGTTAGGAGATAGAGAAGGTAAGGATGACTCCCAGGCTCTCACCTGCAGCTCCAGGTGGATCATGAAGAACCCAGAGGTGGAATGGGCTTGGGAGAAGGCGCTGAGCTCTATAGGGAACTGAGGGACGTGTGGTCTGGTGGAGGCCCAAGCTGGGGGCTGGGCCAGGCTGCAGCTCTGAAAACAGACTTAGCAGACTTCAACCTGCTGACGTGGGAGAGCTGAACTTGTCCAGGGAAGTGTGTGAATGAGAAAGAGAGAAGGCGCTTATGGACAGCCAGAGAGGGAGGCTGAGAAGGAGGACAGGAAATTCCATGCCAGACAGTGAAAGTCCTGAGTGGACAGGGCTTTGAGCTCAGAGAAGAGGGAACAAGACAGAGTTCAGGGGATCGCTGGGACAGGGTCCAGGTACTGAGTGGCCTAAAGATGAATGGGGCAAAGTAAAGAAGAAGGCAAATATTCTGCGTGGTGATGTGGCCTGGAAACTGGTTTCAACCCCTAAAGAAACTCACTGGAGACAGCTCTCCAGAGTGGAGGGATGGGGGTGGGAGGGAGCAGTGGGACTACAGGAAGAGCAAGCTGTAGCATCTGAGGTGGTCAGGAAAGAGGAAGTCCATGCGAGCTGTACCAGAGGCCACAGGATTTTTGTAGGAGCTGGTGTTGGCTAATTGGTTGACAGGGCATTGCCCCTTGAGTGGCCTTGTGCAAGCAGTTTTGAGAAGTCCTGGACAAGCCCTTAGACCACTCTGCCTAAGAATGTCCCATGATGAGTCCTCTTGTGGTCATCTGGGCATCTGTGCATGAGAGCTTCCTGGACTTGCTTTTGTTAGAGTTGTGACACAAGTGACTCCAGTGTTTATGTCACTTTCACACTGGGTGGTCAGTGAGTCAGTCGGTCCTGAGATGGAGGACTTAAGAGAAGAGGATCAGGGGGGAAAGCTGGAAAATGTGAGGGACCTAGTGGAGACTGGAAACTGTGAAAACATGGATTGGATCCTCAGGAGTGACTGGAAGGAAAAAAAAAAACTGCTTTTCTCTATACTCCACTCTGCACAAAACACTTCTGGCTCCAAATGTGCAGTGGTTTCTCCCCCACACTCAGTTCTCCTGTGCTTGTTTCTTTGTTGATATTGCTGCCCCTTGCTGTTTTGAGACAAAGTCTCACTATGTTGCTGAGCCTGGCCTGGAACTCAGGATCCTCCTGCCTCAGCCTCCAGAGTAGCTGGGATTACAGGCATGTCCCATTACGCCTGGCTTCATTCTCCAGTCCTCTAGTTCTCTGTGTGTCCTATGATTCAGTTCCCACCTAATCCAAGTTAGCACAAACCCTGCAGCATAAGGCCCAGTCCCAAAGACTGTCCTGCACGTCAGATGCCAATTAAGCAGGAAGCCCCAGCTTACCCTCACTTTCTGTCTGACTTGGCTGGAAATTAAAGGTTCTTACAACAGATCTCAAGAGAAATGCTTTACTTATATTTACCCATTTATACAGTTCAGGAACAGACACAGAGAGGTGCATAGGGCAAGGCATGTGTGAAGGTACAGAACCCCCATGTTTTCTGTGGGTGCACCATCCTCATGTGGCCAGCAACCTGGAAGCTCCTCAAACCCCAACTGAAAGGGTTTCTATAAGGTTTTATTACCTGGGTGCTGCGTTCCTCGTGACTAAAACACTCAGGGTCACTCCAGGGGAACTGGGCTGCATGAAATAACCACACAAGAGACAGAGATACCTTTTTCTTTTGGGTCCTGTGATGGCTCCTCTGACCTTAAGGGTCTGGGGGGGGAGAGAGAGCGAGAGCGAGAGAGAGAGAGAGAGAGAGAGAGAGAGCACTGACCCCTTTTCTTGAGGAGAAGCCATTCAGATGAGGCAAGGGGTCAGGTTTCAGGGGGCTGAATCTAGCTTCCTGATGTCTGCTGTCAGCAGGTCGACTGACATCTAGAAGGCTACACCCAAGGGTAGAGCAAGAGAAGGGGACACACAAAGTGCATTTCCATGGAACATTCTATCCCAAACAGGGCTAAGGGGGTAATATCACAAAGGAAGAGGTGAGTATAGCTCGATCCATGGGGCTGTAGGAAAGTATGCCTATACATGAAGACACATTCTGCTACTTCGAGGATCGGGACAGCCATCTAGGGTCACTATGAATGTGACCAGATCACTACGAAAGTGACCAACAAAGCCTCTACCAATCACAGGAAGGAAAATGCTGGTCACTTAGCGCAATGGCCCCCCACACCTGGTGTGATTGGTTAAATCATTGGCCATTGGTAATTGGCTTAACTTCCAGCCCCTTTCCCCTCTCTAGGGTGTGAGTGAGGAGTTGAAAGTCTTGACCCTCTAATTGCATGCCCTCCAGGACACCCTGGCCATCAGTCATCTCATTAGCATACAAAAGGACACTTCACTTCAGAGATTCCAAGGGGTTTAACAGCTGAGAGCCAGGGAGCCAGGTGAAGACCAAATATATATGTTTATTATAAATCACAATATCACAGGAGACATTTTTAGGAACAAAAATGGTATCAAAGTAGAAGTCAAGAATATAGGGGCTGGGGTTGTGGCTCAGCGGTAGAGTGCTCACCTACCACCGCATGAGGCACTGGGTTAGATCCTCAGCACCACATAAAAATAAAATAAGGATATTGTTAAAAAAAAAAAAAAAAAAAAAAAAGAATGTAGATGCCCTTGGAGACAGGAGCCCAGTTGCCAGGGTCTGGCTGAATAGACCATGGAAGCCTGCTAGGGGTGAGAAAGAGGGAAGAGGCCAGTCCAAGAACAGGGTAGCAGCCACTAGACTGTTGGCAGTCCCAGGGGAGTCCCCCTGAGCCTCCTCTGCATCTCCCTTTAGAGAGCGCATCCTCTCGGGCAAGCTGGTGCGCAGAGCTGAGAAGCGGCTGAAGGAAGTGGTTATGCAGGTGGAGGAGGAGCGCAGGGTGGCGGACCAGCTCCGGGACCAGGTAAGCAGTTGATGTCATTAGGGAAGAGTGGGCAGTGGGACTGCTGACTTAAAAACAGCATAGACCATCTCAAGAGGCAGTGAGCTCCTCTGCCACACAAGGAAACAACATGCAGATGCTGGACTGTACTGAGTTCTAGTCAGATGCCAACCTGGGGTTTGGAGCATCAACAGAGGGTTTTAACTAGTGATTTGGCTTTTCACAAAAATTCTGGTGTCTGAAAAGGGCCCAGGTAGGAAGCTGAGGCAATCAGGATGAGGAAAGAAATTAAGCCCTAAAAAGAAGCTAGACCAATAATTAAGTAACAATAGATTAAGTGCTTTTTATGTGCCAGGCACTGTGCTAAAGACATAACATGTAGTACATTCATTCTTATCAGAACCCTATAAGATAGGTACTGTTACTTCCCCTATTCAAGTGAAGAAACTGCACATAAATATAAAGTGACTTGCTCAAAATTATTTAGCTAGTAGGAGATGGGATTGGGTTTCTGACACTGACCCAGAATCTGTGCTGTTATTTATTGAGCAGTTATTGTGTCATAAGTAATTGCTTTAAAAAATAATTAGCATTTTCTCACTAACCCTATTTCACGGTAAAGAAACCAAAATGTTAAAAAGAGATATAATTTGCACCCAAATCACAGAGTTCATAGGTGATTGAACCTGGAGCAGACTCCAGGTCTATCTGGCTAGACTTAGTCCCTGTGCCCTTAAAAGCTCAGCTATGCTTTATTTGCTATTCATTCCACAATTATTGAGCACCTGCTACATGGCAAGCACTGGGCTAGGCATTAAGAGATATGGATGTTAATGAGACAGACGGTTCTGTCCCTCATGGAGTTCACATTGTCAGCACAGAGAAGGATGCAGTAAATATATAAATGGGCAAAGGTAATTGCAGATTGTGGCAAGAGATATAAAGAAAAAAAGGGAATGAAGAAAGAGGAAGTCAGAGGAATAGGGAATCCATGTTATCAAGAAGACCTCTCTAAGGAGGTGAAATTTGAATTGAGATGCATAGGATAAGGAAGAGCTAGGAAGAAGGAGTAGGTGCAAAGTCCTTGAAGAGTGGAAATAAGCTTGGTGACTTAAAAGCAAAAAACAAACAAGCATGCTAGAGAGAAAAAAAAGGGGTGAGGTGTTGAGGGATAAGAAATGGACTATGTGTGTTCCCTCCCTGGAGAAAGAGATGAGAGGGTCTGAGAGGATCTTGATGAAGTCTTTCTGGTCAGTGGGCATATGAAGAGCAGAGAAATAGTCAGGAATGAGAGCCTGCCCACCTGAAATGCTGGGACCTTATGCCAGCAGTACTGGGGAGCCATGGAAAGTTGTGAACAGGGGACAGGGTCAGATCTGGGTGTAGGAAGAGCCCTCTGAGGCCATATGCAGATTGGCTTACAGAGGATCCACTGGAGGCCCACTGGAGACTGGCATGACAAGAGTGAACAGAGAGCAGGGGATGGGACAGAAGGAGTCAGGGAGCAGGTGAGAAGGAGCTGGGAATTAGATGGCTGTGGGAAAGGAGAGTGAGACTCAGAGATAAATCCTGGGCCCCCTACTCTGCCAAGCTGGAGAAAGGGAACCTTCGGGTGAAGCAGCTGAAGCGGCAGCTGGAAGAGGCTGAGGAGGAGGCATCCAGGGCTCAAGCTGGTCGCCGGAGGCTTCAGCGGGAACTGGAGGATGTCACGGAGTCAGCTGAGTCCATGAATCGAGAGGTGACAACGCTGAGGAACCGGCTCAGGTAAGGCCGTCCTAAACATATGCCTGATGTGTTCTAGGGATAGAGAGGCTGGCTCCTTGCCTGCGTGAGAAGAGAACAGGGATGCGGGGAGCGGGAGCTTGGGAACAGGGCTGGGATGGAGGAGCCAGGTCCTCAGTTATTCCCTTTTCTTCCCACCCCCACTGCTCTGGCTCATTTCTGGGCCCTCTCTTTCCTCCTTTGTACCTCTATTTTTCTGTCCATTTTCCACTTCATCTTCCTCTGTCCCCCATCTCCCTCTGTCTTCACCTCCTCTTGTCCCCCCATCTTTCTCTGCCCCTCATTTTGCCATCCCCCATTTCTCAGTCCCCCATCTCTTCATCCTTCTCTCTCCTTTCGGTCTCCTGCCCCTCTCTCCCCATTTCCTTTTCTTTCCCTATCTCTCTCCATATTTCCCCATCTCTCTTCTTTCTGCCCCTCTCTTTTCATCTTTGTGTTGGTTTTCTCTTCTTTCCACAGAAGGGGCCCGCTCACCTTCACCACCCGAACGGTGCGGCAGGTCTTCCGCCTGGAGGAGGGCGTGGCTTCTGACGAGGAGGAAGCCCAGGAGGCGGAGCCCGGCTCTGGACCACCGCCCCCTGAACCTGAGGGCCCTCCACCAGCCCAGCCCCAGTGACCCACCTTGCCAAGGTGCACTGAGGGCAGCAGGCACTTGTCCCATGCACCCCACCCTTTGGCTTCTTGCACTTTGGAAATGATGTTGCCCTTTGACACTTTTTGGCATTTATCAACCACCTCCCCTCCCTGAGACATCCTGTCAACTGGTGGTCCCCCAAGCAAAAAGGAGAGAGACTGGCTAGACGGCAACCACTGGGGCTCTATTGCTTGAGGGGAAGCTATGGTCCCCTCAGCTCCCCATCCTTTCTTCAGTTGTTAAGGATCCTGAGCCCCTTGCAAAGACAGGACAAGGAGCCCCTCTTATCCTCTCCTGCCCACTCTGTCCTCCTTTCTAATTGGTCTTCTGTAGTCACAGGTTGGAGTTCCCAGAGGGGTCTGGTAGCGTCTCCCTTACTGTTCCAGCTTCCCAGCCCTGGCAGAAATAAACTCCAATCCCTGATTGGACTCTTAGCTGTGACTGTGTGTCCCTCCAGGGAACCTCTGATGGGGTGTGGGGGCTTCTTCAGTTCCCCTGGGTTGGAAGGAGGGGCTCTGCTGGTTTTAATCACAGCTTATTATATAGTTGAGGAAGCCCAGGCTCTCTGAGGCCTTATTCCTCACTCCAAGCCTCCAGTGAGTGCCAGGGGTGGGCTGTGCCAGACCAACTCTCAAGTCTTTGCAATAAATAAAAATTTTTAAAACGACTGATCATTTGGGGATGGGATTGTGGCTCAGAGGTAGAGCACTCGCCTCACACGTGGAGACCCTGGGTTCGATCCTCTGCACCACATAAAGATAAATAAGTGAAATAAAGGCATTGTGTCCAACTACAACTAAAAAAAATAAAAATAAATCTTTAAAAAATGATTGTTTGAGCTGGGAGATCTGTGCCAAGCACATGATGTTTGTCTCTACCCCTGGCAATCCTTTAGAGAGAGGCATGTCACTGCTTTCCAGTACCTGGAACAGCTCCTGGCACTTAGTAGACAGCAAATACTTGCTTATTGATAAACCACTCCCCTCCCGCCCTTTTAGCATGATGAAAAACAAGCTCAGCTAGACTGAGTTGCTTGCCCAAGGACACAGCTGGTTAGAAGTTGAGTCAGGATTCCAACCTAGGCATAATGCAGAGGGTGGGGCCCTCAGCCCTGAGCTCATGGTGGGTGCTCAGGTCTGCAGCTCCTGGGCGGACTAGGCCCCTCTCGCGAGTGCTGATCCGCATGTTTATCACCAAAGAAACTGAAGAAGGCTCTTGCCCGAATAGGGCGAGAGTCCGCAATCAAGGGGATGTGTGACCCACCAAAGTCACACCCTTGCCATTTTAATACCAACCCACTCCTGAAGTCCCAGTTCCTCTGCGTGCTCCCAACCCCAATCAGGAGAACTTCTCAACAAATTGGAAGCAACTTAAATGAAAAGGAAGTTTTTATTTCGATGGGGAGTGAGAGAGTGGGTGGGAAGGGGGCATGACAGTTTTTCTTTGGGGAGGGTGTGACATGCGGCAGCTTCTGCATTGGGCGGTTCATGCACCCTGGGTGGGCGTGGGGGAGGCTTGGGGGAGGGGCCTTGCCAACCCCTCCCTCCCTGCCCTGCGGGTGGGCTGAGAAGACCCGCCGTTAGCACCAGAATTGGACGATTTGCAGACCTCCCCTCCCCACACTTGACTCCAGACCCCCGCCCCCATCCCTGAGAGCGCCCCTTTGCCACTCCCTCCCCCCCCCTCAGCAACAGGCCAGGCCCGCCCCGCCCACAGTTGAGTGAGAGAAACTTATTGCTGTGTGTGTGTTGGGGAGGGGGAGCCGCTGAGCTCTGGAAAACCCCCAGCCATTCATTCCTCCCCAATCGCCCCGCCCCCTGCCCCGTTTCCGTGCGTTCCCGGAGCGCTGGAGGGGCGTGACATGCGTGTGGGGGGCGCGTCATGCAGCGCATGCGTGTAGTTGCAGGCACCCTGGCGGCCGGGGGAAAGTAGGGAGCTGGACTGTGAACTAGTCCGTTTAGCTCGCTCTCCCTCCCCGAATCCCACACTGTTGACTTGGGAGATGGGGAGGGAGGGGACGAAAGTTACGTTTTGTAGACATTTAAAATGATTGTGGTTATTTTTTAAAAGCTGAACTAAAAAGCTGGGTACTTTTGGCGGATTGGCGAGCTTGGGGAGACTTTGGGAAGAGGTCAGTACCCTTTGGAAAAGACCCTCACCCCTTTCCCCGCCCTGTCCGGCTTCTGTGAGGGTCAGGGAAACTGGGGGTTGTTTAAAGAAGTTGAACCCTTTGGCAATATAATCAGTCCCCACCTCGTACCCTGGTGTCTGAAGCCCCTAGCCCTTTGCCCCGCCCCCACCAGAGCCCTCCCCACCCCTCACCCCTGATTCAGGGTTTAGGGTCCGAGGGAAGGATGAGGGGACTCAAAATGCCCCTTGCATAGGAATCATTGCATCAAGAATCGTGTTCAGTGACCTCCCCACACACACACCATCGGTTGGAAGTGGGGGGTTCTGAGCCCGTGGGAGCAGAGGGAGGTTGCTGATTCACGTGGGCCCCCAGCTGCAAAAGTGGGGGCCGCTAAGGATTCTGGGACCAGTGTGGTCTCTGGGCTTGGGGGAGGTAGCGCATCCTTGAGCCAGGATGGGATATGAGAAATGATTTTCCACCCGCGAGTGTAGCGGGACGAGGAACGCTGGGGAAGGGAGGGCTGGAATCCCAGCCAAGTCGGGTATGTCGTTGTCTCCCAAGCTTGATATCAGTGTCCCTCCATTCAAGCACAGCCTCTATGATCACTTATGGACTGCTTTAAATGGAAACATTTTTAACCTGCATAAATGGTGCCCTGGCCAAGTAGCAATACGTGCACTTATGAGCTTAATATGCAAGATGTGCACATTAAAGAATTCTTAACAGGTGTTTGTCCTTGTATTGCCTAATACCTTAACACACCAGCAGGAGCATGAGAACGACACTTTGGAAACACTGGTGGCCATGAAGAGGGTACCTTTGGGGCACCATCTTGGGGAAGGAGCCTCGTGAGGGGCAGGGCTAGGCTTACCTAAGAAAGGGGGTGCTGGGATGGGTCTGGCTCCCTGGACTTAAAGATAGGCTGAGCCTATTTTGGAAGTTTAGCATTAGTGGGACCTAGGGTGGATGAGTCTGATGTTAGGGATATGGGGGTGTATGGGGGGCAGGCCTGAGGACTTGGGGGTGTCTGGGATATGTCAAAGTTGTGGGAAGGATTTGGAGCATCCCAAAGGCTGAAATTGAGCTGAAGAGCTGGGTCAAGTCTTGGAGGTTTAAAAAAGTGCTGGGATGCGGTCCAGGGAATTTGGGGGTGGGCATATTGGGGAGGGGAAGGGAAGCATCTGTGTGCAGAGGCAAGGCCCCTGGGGCGTGTGGGGATTTAGGGGTGTGGGGTGCCAGGGTCCCTCTCAGGAATCCTAGATGCAGGTCTCATGTCCTGGGAACAGAGGGAAAGGGTTGGGGAATTTTATATGCTAGGTCCAAATCATCCCAAGAATTCTAGGATGGCAGGTCTGAGTCCATGCAGCAAGAATAGAGGCGAGCAGATCCCTGGGGGTGGGGTGGGGGATGAGAGGGTGGAATTCACCAGAGGGATCCTCCTAAAGGCTGAGGGAGCAGCTGGCAGCAGCCCACCACTCCTGCCTCATCCTGCCATCTGAGCTCAGCTCTTTGTTGGCCTGGTTAGCAATCTCTCCTTTCCCTGAGCCCTTTCTAGGATTTTGTTTCTCCTTATGCGTGATGGGTTGGTTGCCCTCTTGGGGTGAAGGGTAGGAAGCCAGGACACCCTCCTGTGGCTTAAAGGCCAGCCCTACTCCTGGAGCTCCCAGCCCCCTACTCGCAGCACGCAGCCCCTGGTGGCTTATTGCTGAGGAGTTGGAGCAGGGTCCGGATCTGGGAGGCATGCAGAGTGCATTTGGGGGGAGGTGCCCCAAGATGTAACTGGCATAATTTGGACTTATTTACACAAGTTGATGGGAGGGGGTGTCCTATGGCTCATGGAGACCTGAGAAGGCTTTTTTGGGGGGTTGGGGGAACGGCTACAGCCCCTCCCCCTCCATCCTGGGGCCCAGATTGTGGGTGAGGGGCCTGGGGGTGTCTGCTGGCATCATCATTTCGGTTGCATATTATTAATGACTTTTTGATATTTTTTTTAAAAAAACCTTTCCCCCACCCCCCACCCCCAGCTCCTTTGACCTTCTTCCCGGTCACCCCCGAGTCCCCCCACAGGGGGGAGGGGAGCGCTAAAGGATGGAGGGCAGGGTTGGGGGAGCACGGCGGGTGGCCCGGGGAGAGCCTGGGGGGGTGGCAAGGGGTGCGAGGCGTAGGGACACCCCGCTCAGGCCCGCGATGCTGCTCAGGCTGCGGGATTTCTCGTAACCTGGGTGGGGGGAAGGGCAGAAACACCGGGAGGAAGCATGGAAATGCGAGTGCAGGGAGAGTCCCCAAGACAGGGAGAAAAAGAGAGAAAGGGATGGAGAGGGCAAGAGGTAACCCAGAGAGACAGAGGTGGCCAGAGACAGAGACGGTGAAGAAGACAGAAATAAGAGACAGGAGGACGGGGAGGCAGAGACAGACATGGAGACACAAAAAGAGGGATGGCAAGAGACAGAGATGGACCAAGGAGATGGAGAGAGAAAGAGAGAGAGAAGTGAACAAATCGGAGCGTCAGTCAGCATCCACGAGAAAGGTTCAGACACAGGGAGGGGGAGAGACTCAGGATTAGGAGGCGGTGGCGCCCACCGAGCCTCCCCCCCACCCCACCCCACCCCACCCCAGCCCAGCCTTTCCCTGCCCACCCCTCCCTCCCCGTAGACCCCTCATCTCAGGCCAAAAGGTGGGGGGCAGCAAGGCGGGATGGTGGGCGGCAGGGGCGTGGGGAGGGGCCGGTGGAATGCATGTGGGGAGCAGCCAGTGGAGAGGGCTTGGAGGGAAACGGGCTGGGCAGGACAGCAGAGTGGGGTTGGGGGCCATCTAGTGTAGGGAATGGGGACAAGGCGGGCAGGGCTGTGGGGGGCTGAGGAACCAAAGCTGGCAGTGCCCTGGGGGAGTGAGAGAACTCCAAGAGCTGTGGGCGGGGGCAAGGCTCATCCCTGGGGCATCGTTCCAGGGTCCAGGAAGGTCCAGGCAGTGTCAGTGGTGAAAGGATTTGAAGCATCCCAAAGTCTGAAAAAAATGGGCTTCTGCGGGTGAGGGGAGGCGCTAAGGGACAGCTCACGGGACTCAAGATCCAGGAGCAGTGTGTGTGGTTTCTGAAAGCTTGGTCCGTCTTCGGTTCTGCCAGCGTCTGGGGGGAGTTCCATGGCTTTTCTACAGAGCCAGGGGCGCTGTCTGAAGGCGGGAGTCCTGACTGTAGGAGAGGGCCTGGGGGTTTGAAGCCCAGTATCGTGGGGACACCCCCTCCCAGCCATTCCCAATTGCTAACCTGGGGGGAAGGGGCAGGGGGGACCCGAGGGTCTCACGAGGTCTCAGGCGGTGACAAGAGCTGGGGACAGAAATACAGAGAGTCACGGCGGGGGGCGGGAGGATGGTCGGGGGAACCCCCCAACACAGCCTCACTGTTGGGGGGACGGAGAAACGCCGGGATCTCTTCCTCCTCTCTGGTGTTTTCCGGGGAAGGGGAGCAGTGAAATGGGGCGGCCAGAGACTTCAAAT